GAGTAAATGAGAGAGCTCTGCAGAACTGCAGGATCCGCATCACCCTCATCCTCGGAGTCGCTGTCCTCGTCGTCTTCTGGTTCTTCGTATTGGGCTCCCTTGCCATCGTTTCCAACCAATTTCATATCGGTCTTGGCCGGCTCTCCCTCACTTGTAAGGAGGGAGATTCTCGGCACGGGTTTAGATGGGAGTTCTTGTCCCGCGCTAATCCGCACACCGTAGGAGATCAGAGAGCCTTCCGGGATGTAACTGTACTTGCCAATGACTGCATCATTGGCAATGATGGAATGCAGAACGGTAGCACCATCCTCAATCACCGCATCATCCCAGATATAGCTGTCCTCTATCCTCACGTTCTTTCCGATCTGGCATCTCCTTCCGATGACACTGTTCGAGATTGTGCTTCCACTATCGATATACGCGGTCTTACCGAGTACGGATTTGGTTACTGTGCTGTTTTTTGCGATGTGCGCGCCATCCTCTATCCACAGACCCCGCTTGTACTTGTAAGTCTGGCCGTGAAGAAGGTTGCTGTCGGGGACATATGGTAAAGTCCAGCGGTGGAGCATATCCTTGCTGATGCAATCATACATCTGGAGGTTGCTGGCGCGAGCCCCGTAGCCTTCGTCGAGTATCTCGGCGCTGATAATCTTGCCGTTCAACTCCCAGTCCTTCAGTACGCCGTGAAGGAAGTTCTTGCGGGGAAGCTCGTAATCGAAGCTCTCGGACCACAAGGCCAGAACATCCGGTGTGCAGATATCGATGCCGCAGTCGATCAGGTCGGTTCGCATCTCGAACTCGCCATAGTCGAATACCGAGTCGTCCAACTTGACGTACTTGTCCTTCTGAAGTGGGTGCATCTCCTCATATTGCAGACAACGGCCGTTGGTAGGGTCGACAACAAAAACAGGAGTGATGCCCCGGGCCTTTGCAGCTCGGTGAGGGCTGTTTCCTGATGAGCGCAAGACGATGGTCATGCAGGCGTCTCTGTTGGCCTCTCTCCTTGCGCGGTGCTTGGCTAGAATACCGTCGAGGGGAATGTTTGCGACAACGTCGCCATGGACGAGGATAAAGTCACCCGATATGAGACTGCGCTTGTCGAGATCTCGCAAAAAGTCACCGATGGAGCTTGCGTCGGACACGCGGATAAAGTCGACAGAGGAGAAGGGGCAGAGGTTGCTCTCGGGGCTCCATCGATCGGAATCGTTGATGTAGTTTTCGACGTCTTCGGAGTGGGCGCCGCAGTAGATAAAGACCTCTTGGACGCCGTTGGAGGCTAGGTACTCGAGCGTGTATTCGATAACGGGCACGTTGACCAGAGGGAGGAGACACTGCCAGGACGAGGTGGTCAGTACGCGATGATCGCCAAGAGGGCAAGGAGCATGACATCAAGAAGCATAAAGTATGAAGCATTTACCCTGGGCTTTTCAAGAGCAAAAGGCTGGAAACGATCCTGGAAGGAGTCAGCGAGGATGACGGCCTGAAGAGCATCTTCTCTCTTCTCCTCGGTGCCGCCCTTGGCGGGCTTTTTGGACTTGTTGGCAGCTCCGCCCTTGCTGGCCTGCTTGCCCGACATTGCCAATTCTTCTTATCGGGTAAGACTGGACTCTACAGAAACGGGTTGACGAGGGCCGGGTTGTGTAAGTGGCTACGAATCGGAAAGTGAAAAGCGCGGGGAAGAATGTTTGTAGTGGGGGCACAATTGTTGAAGAAGCACCGGCGCGTTCGAAGCTGGAATTGTGACAATGGTACGCCTGCCGGCCGCTGTGTACTACCAAACCTTGGAGTGATGAGTCAACGCACTGGCCTCACTTCGTCCTGACGTTGCTGCTCAAAAGTTTCCGTCTTTCATATTTTAGGGCAGTCCCGCCGTGCTGCATGCTAGAGGTGGGGTGCGGGCTAATCAAACCTGTGGCTTGCGTGTTACCGTCAGAACCTCTATACTGTATTGATTAACCTGAGCCTTACAAGTAACTTTCCACGGTGCAGTGAAACAACGAAACAGAAATTGTGGCGTTGGTAAATCCAGCCGCATTCGGACATTCATCACTGAGATGTAGTACTTAGCACCCCCTTGGTTACACAACAACGGCACCCGGTATTATCGAAAGGTACGACAGCTACTAGTAGCGTAAGCAATAGAGGCAAATGCACTCGGAAGAGAGGAAATCTGTCATGCAAGCGGTCTGCCAATCGTGTAGCTCTTCAGCGAAAGGCAGGCGTGACTGATTGTTTGGGCAAGGACCGTGCAAAGTTGACCATTGGGATGGCAGGTCACATACAGTAGCAGCTCGTCTATTTAACACGACATGGCGATCGAATCGGTGTCTTCTCTATACCGTGGACAATATCACACCTCCACATGTTCCTGTATCCCAACGTGCCAGAATCGCATTTGGAAGCTTGATTCGGATTCCAATTTCAGTGCCGAGAGATGATCGGCGATCCAACCCTCCTGGTGGAGCCAAACATTGATTTGCGCTAGGAGCCTACGGTACGTATCTTTAAACTCCAGGATGGCCTGTTCGGATGCTATCCCTTGACGAAACCCAACCACAGCATGCCAAAACCCATCTCCCAAGTGCCGACTTTCGCCGTTTGAATACCATCGGCTATCTGTCTATACTCGTACATATATCCAACCTTAGGAAGGCAAACATAGCCGCGCCTCGTGGGAACATGGCATGTGGATGACCCGCGGGCCCGTTGGATTTATCCTCGGACCCCTTACTCGCCAGCCTCACCACGTGCTGGCTCGCGTCCTGACACTATCCTAAGGCTCGGAACGATAACGGATCGAATCTTACCCGACTGGATTCCCGTCCCGCATGTCTTCACAACGAGTCCAGCACCGTCTTCTTCGGCTCACAAGGCGGGCGTTACGACGCCGGGTGCATAACGGCGGACCGCACTAGGTGGGCCCCAAGAGTTCTAGACCTCAATCGAACATGCACAGTTCCGCATCTGGGATTCGTGATGGATCCTCTAACAAGCGGCTCAGACGGGCCCGGTCCGTCCAGCCAGGAGCCACCTCAGTCCTGCCAGTCAAACGCAGACGCTCTCGAGACGACGTGAAGGAAACCACATTCCCGATGCCATGCGTAACAAGGATTCTGTTCTCCAACACTACTCTGCTTTAAATTGCTACTGTAGTGTCTAGCCTCCGAGCTACCGGGAAGTGTCCTTGGCCTAGCTTCGTCCCCCCTCCGCGACAGTCTGGCACCCGAGGCCGTCAGAGGAGGCGGCTCCGGCCCGTTTTTAAGTTTTTTAACCCCTTTCCCCCACCCCCCGCTGATTCTTTCTCATCCATCTCGTTTTCTTCGTGTATTATACTTGTCCTCGGTGTTACCAATTGGAACCATCCCGTAAATCCGCCGCCCTCATGTACCTATTACCCATCCACCCTTCAGTTGTACTTACCTTCCGTCGTTACGAATTCTCAAACTCCGTCGAGAGTCCCTGCCGACAGAGAAGAACAAGGCTACATTGTACCTACTGAATATGACCGAGCCGAATTACTAGCAACACGATCCTTCATCCTTCTCACCTGTGTACAAGTTCCATCTTTCCCTACCTACTTACTTGCACGACCTCGTCCTTCGATCATCGGTCACAAGCAGGTAAACAACGGAAAGAGTCCTCTCCACCTTCAAACGAATCTCATAACGGACCTAACGGGCCTAATGCGCTCCGACGCCAGCAGCTTCTTATCTTAAAGAGAGGCAATTACAATCTGAGGTATCAACCTCGCCCACTCCTCCATCCTGCAATATCCAAGGTCCCTTCCCCTAGTACCGAGTCTAATACCGACTTCTTCACTCAAAATACTGACAGATAAACCCAGTGGGCCTTCCCGCCTCCGTGAAGTTCGTCATCATCAAGATTCAAGCCCTCTTCGGTCTCGCGGTCGGTCAGAAATCGGCCGAGGAACAGCAGCCTCGGCCCATCCCGGTCGTTTTCTGGCACCGATCGAGATGCATATGCCCAAGTACTTAGGGATATCCTCCCCCTAAAACGCTTTCAAACCAGGTCCTTTCAATGCTTACTTCTGCCTGCACCACAGGGCAGTTTGGTGTAGGCATGTGTAGGTAGCAAGTACCCGGGGATCCTGCGCCTAGCCAGGCCCAGGCTCGTCTGGAACCCACCTCCCATTTTTGTAGTACCAAGTGGCTGTACCGAATGGTAGCCACGGACCCTCCTCTCACTCGTCTCTGGTCGCTCTTTCCGTTTATATCTTATACAACAACACCCCGGGCTCGCGCACCTCCTCCCCCGGTTCCTCGACCCACGAACTTTTCACCCTCCTTCCCTCTCCGTTATCCTCAGCTACCACTTATACTTCTTTCTGTACCCTGCTCAATTTCTTCCTAAGTTTCCGTATTTCACTTCTGATGTCGTCCTTTGATCTTTTTTTTCCATCTCTTAGTCTTTTTTCAACTTTCTTTTTTTCACAACCTCAGCCCTCTTCTCAGAAAGATGGCCTTCGCTCTCTCTGGAAAACACGCCATCACATTACGCTCACCTGACGAACAACAGATGGCTCGACAGCAACAAGTTGATGGAAGCACTCGCTCATTGATAATGGCCAACAGGTCGAAGGGATAACATACCGGATGGAATGACATCTACTTCAGACTCGAACTACGTGCTCGAAGTGAGGAGACAACCGAGTCACCTCCCTACCTATCCAATCACGCTACACATCGCCATCCCAAGAAAAAGGGAACGAAGAACGTCAACATCGACCGTTACATGCGAGTCAGGCTTTGGTACGAGTTTCTAAAGCTTCGAATTGCAGCAGAGGGTGACTAATTTTGAGGTGACGCCGGGTCGGATATTCAACATCAAAACAATCAACCACAGAACGAAGTGACACCGGCCGACCCCCACCGTCCTCGAATGCGGAATCCCTCCTTTTCAGTACTTTTCCCGATCTAATCGCTCACTATCCTCCCACTACGACTTCCAACCAGAACCAACTTTCCATCGACGGCCGCTCGCTATTGCACAAACGGTCCCTGATTCGCGCCAGGACCATATAACCTTTGGCGCTTCTCCGGTCGATTCTCTTCTGATCCACCACCCATCCCCATGCCCTCGGAGGCCTGCATATGACCGCCGGCTTGGAAACCCGCCGATCCGCCTGCTAGTTGGTTGTTGACCTGGTTGTTCATGATTTGGTATGGCTGCGGCGGTGGTCTTTGTGTGCCGCCTGGCGTCAATACCATTCCTCCTGGACCGCTCCCTCCGGCATTCATGTATCCTCCGCCGTCCATGTTGGGTGATGTCTGGTTCATCTGCCCCGGAGAATGCCACGAGGATGTGGTGGTGGGTGAAGGTATCGGCGTCTGCTCAAATTTGACCTGTGCGCCGCTTCCCATTGAAGAGTTCGCCATCGCTGCCGCTGCCGCCATCATGTTGGCCTGAGCTTGCTGGTTGTTGGCGAATGCTTGTTGGTTCTGACCCGGCGGCCCTGGGGCACCTACGGTCTGGCCTGTGTCATCCGAGTTAAGGCCGCCTTGGAGCGGGTCTTTGAGCATATACGCCAGATGCTTCCTCAAAACGCGGATCATGCTGTCTTTCGTAAAGGGCTTTGCTAACACATCATTCATACCTTGAAGAAAGGACTGTTAGCGCATTGAAGAGGCAGGCAGGGTGGTTTTGGATGGTCTCAACTTACCATACTGGAAATAGGTTTGGATATCCTCTTGTCGGATATTCGACGTCATGGCGATGATGGGTACCCTGGCCGTCACCATTCTAATCATCGCCGTCGCCGATACGCCATCCAGGTTGGGCATGATAATGTCCATAAAAATCAGGTCGAAGCTCTCGTTATTCTCCGGGTTGTTGATCTTTTCGACAGCTTCCAGCCCATCTTTCTGCTCCGTTGTTAGCAACGGTCACTGCCGGATACCTCACATCCTTGAACGCGGAACCACGTGGGACTTACAGCAATATCTACCGAACATTCTAGGACATGAAGGAATTTGGCACCAATCCTTGCGCATGTCTTGTCATCCTCAACGAGCAGGATACGTGGCCTCTTATGGCTCCACATGGAGGTGCCTTGGTCTTTTGGGGGAGGCGTGATCTGAGCAGAATCGGCCATCGGGTTCGGGTTACTCAAGGGACGAGTATACGGGATGTTGTTGATGTGGTCGGAATGGAACGGGTCGATGCCCGTTGTCTGCCCTACCGGATAGACCATGTGTCTAGGGTCGTTGAGGGGATCATGCAGCATATGCATGGGTCCAGGGCCGCTCTGGGTGAACATGACCGACGAGGTTGCCGAATCCGATGGAGACCCATTTTGATGATAGGCTACCGATATCCGTTCGAGGTCTCGGTCGGCCTGGGAATCGGGGGAAACATTGCTGAGTATCTCGCGCGCTCGTCTAAGTTCGGCTGCCGGCTCATCAGCACCGTCCGGCAGTAGCCCAAGGGATCCTGTATGGAAGGTCGGACCTGAATGACTTGAGTGGCTAGAATGCGCTGAGTGTCTGCTATTCCGTCGACGGTCCTCAATGTTGCTGAGGTGGGTGATCAACTCGTTGGAGACTTGGCTCTGGGCCCTGACCATCTTTTGCAAGCTGATGACCTCGTTTACAAGCACTTTGTTCGTCTGCGCCAGCTCGAAGTACTGCTCCTGCAACGCCTGGATCTGGTGCTGAGTCGCGGTAAGCGATTCGCTTAGGACGACAATCTGCTGCGACGCGCCGAAGGCATCTTCAGCTTGCGCGGGCTTGCGCGGAGCCGGCGCCTTTCTGCGGATATTGTCCAGGTTGTCTTTCCTATCTGCACGAAACTCGGGATGCCGAAATTCCCATGCCTGAATACGGTCAGCTGAAGGGACCCCCTTTGCAGGACCTATGACTTGGACCACCCACATCTCTCCCGTATGGCGCTTCGCCACTTTCTTCATTGTGCCTGACTTTGTGAAAATCGTATTTGTTCAACTGTCGTACAAAGCTTGCGAAGTTGCTATGCTTAAAGTGTTTGGGTAAAATGGTTTTGGTGAATTTTTCGTTCTGTTGATGGGTATGTGTCAGTAGGAGCAGGGGGGTCGTCTTCCCCAAGCGAAGTGCTGTTCGGCGCATACCTCTAAAACAACGAAACTATCACCATCGGCGCTCCATCGTACTACGGAATTGTACGTGGGATCCTCAAGCATCCTACAACTGGTCAGAATGCATTTCGCAATGTACAGGCGGGGACTCGGGGATTTTTGGCATCGTACTTATACAGCTTGCGCACCTAGGTGAGACGAAGTACGGATTAGTCCCCATCATAGAAAACTTGCGGCCGGTGGCAGGCAGGGAGGAGAGGGTGGAGGAGGGGGAAGCTTTGGAGGAGCTCACAAAGTCGCTGGAGTTGTTACCAGCCTGCGCAGAGGCCGAGTCACCCTCGGGAGGCGGCATGATTGTGGTGGTTCAGCGTAGTTCGGGGCCACGAGGTCTAGACAAGCGAATGCCCAAACAATCGAGCCGATAACAGACGGCCGATAAGGACTACGGCCGAGGATCAAGAACAGTCCAATTTAGACGAAGGCACGAGTTTCTCCCAAGCAAGAGCACAATTTGATGGACTGGTCACGCTCTGCTCCTCTTCTCATCTCCACACGACGTGATACGGTCTCCCTGGTCCGAGCCGACAGTTGTTTCCACTTTTCCCAAGGTCACGTAGCATGCTCTGGGTCGAGCGTTCAGGATGGTCGAATCGGCGGGTGCTTCGCGACGTAATGCACCCGGGCGGCGGAGAATCCAAACGGTCCACGCAAGCGGACGAAACAGAAAGGCGGTACTGTAGTCGGAAGAAGCTATGGCAGACGGCCAAAGCCAGGCGTGTTGGAGATTGCGATATTGGGGGCCCCTAGGGTTGTTTGAGTTCAGCAGCGCAAGATGATGACCAGATTAGGCGATGGGCGTACGGTCCATCCAAGGGCTGTAGTCGGTGTCGCTAGAGGATTCGGGACTTGGACGGCTCAAAGAAGGTTGAGAGGGTTGAAAGGTTCGAAAAAGGTCGAGAACAGTGTGGTCGGGTTCAGGGTAACGTTCAAGGCAGCGGATCAGGGACAAGGGACCTTGACCGGCGGATAGACACGGTGCTGGTGTGGAAAAGTCGAAAAAAAAAGACACATAAAAATATAATGGAGGTTCGATTCTTCCGTGGATCCAGTCGATGTTTGGGAATTGGGAGACAATTAGGGGTGGGTGCTTTTTGGCGCCTTGGACCTCCTTCGCTGTCTGGTAGGTATGTACACTACCTAGTTTTGAGAGTTGCTGCGTGCTGCCCCCTCGGCATCAGGAAACTAGGAAGCACTGTCTACGGTGGGCGGAGAGGTGGACTGGAGGTCAGTAACAGAGAAGCTGGCGTGGGACTCGGGAGTACGACTTGTCAAGAACTGGCAAGCCACTCGGTACCTATGATTGATCAAGTTCCGGAAAAGCAGGCGAAAAAGCTTGCAGCAGTAGCCAGCGCGAGCGAGCGGCAACACCAATTGCCTTGGTGAGCCTAGTAGGTAAAACCCCTTGTTCGCTTGGTAGAGGGTACGCCAGTACACAGTCTCGACAGTACTCTAGGAACGGTAGGGCCGCTGCCGTAGAGACACGAGAACTTCGCAGGACGGGAAAACCGGGGTTGGGTTGGAGTAGGGAATGGATAGGTACGTACCTCGATGCGGTGCCGGTGGGTGGATGTGAAAGTTCAGAACTCTTTTTGCTACAGTTGCTAAGTGCGCAATCGACACCTCCCAAAGGCAGGGGAACATCTTGTCATGTTTTGTCAAGCAAGTACGCACTGCGGAGAAAGTCCCGTGCCAAAACGGAGACATCTGGACGAATCAGACGACCAAGACAATCAAACTAGACGTCATTCCACAATCCAGTCTGCACCGTTTCAAGCGGTACCTTGCGTTTCTCGCTAACGCAGTGGAGGTTTTGCACATACTCAGCGAATGCCAGAGATACCTTAACCTCTTTACCTACATTACATTACACGACCAAACCTACACGGCATTGCATATGAATTGAAAGAATGGGAGTGATGAGATATTCATGAGATGGAAGAACGATTGAAATCATATTTGCCGAATGTAGCCGACACTGGCAAGAATTTAAGGCGAGCGCAAGCTATCGACCATTGTGCGCATCACAAGTACTTCCAGTAATGTGTGGTTCTGTGAAGTTTCAGCTATCACGTTTGTATAGTCTTTGGGGCCTTCATGAAGCTATCTTTGTCCACTTGAAATTTTTCTTGGAAAAAGCCACTTACGATCCGGTCACTTGTGGGATAGAATGCCACTGAATCTCAGTACCGGGGTGCGCTCTCAGAAGATTGTTTGGCACTTGGCTCCGAGAACACATGCTGTTGATCTTGTTTTTTTTCGGGGTCACATTGTGCTTTGGGCGATGATAGTCATGTTCTGCTTCCTTGGTTCGCGGACCGGAGCGCCCGACAGGATACATATAGGCAAGCTGGCAAGCAAGGCAAACCAGTGAGGCCAGGCACGCCAGGACGCCAACTGCGCAACCGAACCCGTGCCGACGTCGATCTCTCAACTTGGTGGCGCGGGGGACCGGTGTTCCTTTTGGTCAGCGATTGAAGTGGGAGGCTTTCAGCACAAGTCCAAACAAGTATCGCCCGCTCATCCGTTCACATGGCTGAAATTGGTTGGTCCGCAACAAAGCCGCGCTGAAGATCAGGGACTGCTTCCTCACCGTCGTTCTTCTGCAAAAAGTTGAAACTGGTTGTAAGAACGTCTTGAATACCGGTACATTAGAGGCTCCATCAGGCTCAGGGGAGGCATGAGCGGTCGCTCCGTTGATCTTGGATGGCCCGCGACTGTGAGGGACGTCTGCCGGCAAACATTCCCCGGAACAAGACAAAAACTCAACTATCGTCGTGACCTATTGGGGGATTTAACACTGCTGCACCCTGTGGGCAAGCCGCGCAGCACGCATGTGGTGTACAGCTACTTGTAGGTACCTCAATTGTGAAACGGTGCCACGTGCACCGTAATGCACAGTATCGACAATTCTTGACAGTTTCAAGTCCCGACTTTCGGATTTTTTGGGCGAGCATAGTCAGTCATACTGTGTAGGTGGGAGGAAAAAGGGACGAAACCAGCACATCTGGGCCTGGGCGTCGGCTATCCGCCAACAGAAGCAACCCACTGCAGTAACAGTTGTGGTTATTCCCACACTTTCGAGCTGTATCCAATTCCACTTGTGTAATGTGGTGCGCAAGCTACGACCAGTTCGGTATCGATCACCACCCAGTGCGACACTCTTTGAACCTCTCTCCCTTACCTGAAGGGCTGGCAACTGGCAAGTCGGGTACGTGTGGTGAAGAGACAGCAATGATGGGAAAACGGAACGGGGCTACCTATCGTGAATACCTCTACCTCCGGGTATGCTGCGAAGCATAAGTGAAAGGACATTGTACATTTACAGCGAAGACGGGAGTTCCTGTGCCACGCTCACTCAAGTACCTGTACGTGGTTGTGCATGACAGTACTGGTCTTGGCCCGCAAAGGCATAAAAAGTTGACCGTAGTTTTGCTGTAAATGATGTTCTTTGCTTGGTATTCAGGCAGCCAAAAATAGAACAGTTAGGTGATCTTATCATTAAATCTGCCCTTTCCCGTTCCTTATTGAACCCCCATTCTATCCGGTCAAGGTCATCGGAGAGGCTCGTGGCTTCCGCCGTTGCGGTTCCGTTCCGTTTCACGCTTGGGACCTGGCCGATCGGCAACCCGGCAAGCGGCAACCCGGCAACTCGGGCGCCAACTGCGGACCGGAAATTGGGCACGAAATGCAGTGGCCAGTTGGTGACCGAGCGCAGACAGTCCGGGGCATGCACGTTCTGTGCTGGAAATCCGGAGCTACTCATCAACCTCCGCGCCCTCCGGATTCTCATAACTGGCCATCCCCGAGACCGCTTTTTCAACTTTCCAGTTGCTGACTCGTTTTCTTACTCTTGGTATTCTTTCGATCCTTCTTATACTGGCTGTACCTTCTAAGCCCTCTTTCTCAAGTCAAGCGTTATGCAACTCGAGGGTCTCCAGGTCATGACTCTCTCACCCGTTTGAGACAGTTCGATGATAATGACGAGATATATAGCCCGTCGACCACCTTTGGCAACGCATTAACCACAGCTGGATACGCCAGAAAGCTTTTGGGGATTCCCAAATCCAAACATCGGCAAACAGCCAGCAGGTCGTGATGGGATGGAAAGCGCGGTACAAGAACGATCCACGGGAACTGTGTCTTCTGCTGGCATGCCTTCCATCTCTTTGTTGAGGCTTGAAGCTGTGCTATCATTGAGTGCAGATGCCCGGCTCTAAAGGGAGATTCAACGCTCTAGCAAGGGTAGTTTGTGCGAAACATCCAGAGGCTACCAACCAACATACCAAATGGAACAGGTCCTACTCTGGAGATTATGGGCTATACGCTCAGGACCATGGGGGGCATCATTTATCGCTTTCGGAGTGTGGTCTTGAATGAGTTTGGCCTGCTGATGGATATATATGGTTGACGATGGGCATACAGCTATCGCTTAAACGGGATGTTTCATTGTTCACAACAAGTGAAACCGTCATTGGAAACCGTTGGGGCTGGATCTGTCCCACCGTGAACTGGCGTTGGGTTGTCACCCCAAAACATTACAAGAATGATAATGAAACACCCAGAGACTGTCATGGTACAACCAGGACAGGAAGTCTCAAGAGATGCTCGCTTGCACATGAAGCTTTGGGTATTTCCTGGCTCGAACTTTTCTCTTTGCGCATTCGCCTTTGTAGTCCGAACACATTCCTTTTTCAAGTGGCCGAGATGGAGCAAGACAAGCAAGGCCTGGCTGTCAAAGGTTCTTGAATGAACTGTCCACGATATAGAAACCCTGATGTCAGGCACTCTTTAACACAATAGGTTGGTGATAAAGGTTTACAATGGACGGACTAGAAGGCTCTTGCCGACACATGATTTAGATGGAGCCCTCGTTGCTCGGCCGCCCAACTTCTTCATCTAACGTTGATAGCTTGCAGAAACTAACACGATATGCACACATTTGTGTGCTTTAAAAGTCACAATTTCGTAAGTGCAAATTAGAGCACAATGTTAACAAGGTCTAGAGCAATCGATGGCTGTGCCTTCCAATACCTATCAACAGCAACAGAGGAATACTTCGCAGTAGTAAAGTGCCTACCTAACCTTAAATAGCAAGTTTAAATGACGGTTTAAGCTTGATGGAACTGCCTGCCATTGGTTTAGATCCAGCAATGAATGGGTCATTGTGGGTCCCAATTGGAACAGGTTCAAGGTACATGATGCTATTGCACACTAGAGGCAAACGGCATGCAACTGCAGGGTAACCTCTGCGTAGATTGTCGATAACGAGGTACCTCCGGGGTCCACTTTTCACTGCGCAGGAATGTCGGGTGAATTTGTTGTAGGAGCCAAGCTGAGTGAGTGTCCGAGTCTTGACACTTGACATGGTAATCACCTCCGTCCCGTCTCTAGTTTCCTTACCTTCCATCGTGCTGTTGACCTGGACATTGGATCGAACGGATCCCTTGTCCCTTGGCCTCCCCGACAACCAATTCCTCACTTCTTCTTTCGGCGCAGCCTCCCTGGTAGCCTGATGCAAGACCTTTTACTTTTGGGGGGAAAGTAAAGGCCTAAGTCCATCAGTCTGATACCATCCATTTCCTTCCATTGCACACGTAGCTCCTTTCTCCGCAGCCACCACAAGAGGGAATCACCTCCCACCTCGCATCTCGCACCTCGATCCTTCTCGACGCCAGACAGGCACTCCCTTCCCAAGCTCCCGTCAGTCGGCTCCTCCTCCCTTGAGGCTGTTTGGTTATTGAGGTGACAGATTGGTACGGATACTGCTGCGTTGCACAGCTCCTGGCTGCATCTTCCATGTGTCCGTGTGAAGCTGCCCTGCCGCTGCGTTGAGCTAGGCGCCAGTCAGTCCTCCCTCACCAGGGACCACTGACCATCCAGCCCGTCCTCCCAACCCATCCCCAGACCTGCAATCTCTTTACAAGTCCCACCTGCAATTGCTCGCCACCAGATACTGCAGCGTCACTTCTCCGCAAAAGACGGCACTCCGCATCGCGCATGGCCCTCTCGGATCAAAGGACCATGTCGTCGCCGTTAAAGAAACAACAGCATGAGATAGAAGTCGTGGCTGATAGGGTGCTCAAGAGGGTGGAAATTAGTAGGGTATGTCATCCTCCTCCACCTCCTCCCATTGCATCATAAGCTTCCAAGAGGCTAGTTGGTAACCCTCCTTTCCTCCTGCCAGATGGTCAGAAGACTACAGAACCGCCTCGCCCTCGCTCAGTTCAAGACAAAACATGGCCTCGAAGACCTTACCCTCGACAGCATCGAGCCCCGGTTCGAAAAAGAGCTGCGTCGAAGCAGGCTTCAAGACGGCGATGTCCTGTCCGACTCCTCCTCCAGCGCTTCCGATCTTCCATACCCCACACGAGGCCTGATGAGCTCACCACTGAAGGCTCCCGTTTTCTCCGATGCCATCGGATCCAGCAACGGTACCTCAGGTCACCGCAAGCGCTCGTATCTGGCATCCTTCGAGTACGACCAAAGCATGTCGAGTCCAAGCAAACGGTTCCGCCAGTCACCCACCGCTCACCGTTCCTTCACGCACGGCAGCCACGCCTCCTGGAAAGACCACCACGACCTGGCCCAGTCATCACCCTTGAAACCTCAACGACAACGTCATTTTACTACCTCGACAGGCCCCAACGTGGCCTTGTTTGATACCTCGAGACAGATGAGCAAGGTTCTGGCCTCGCCTGGCTACGGTGCCAATCACTCAGACGACGAAGACGACGCCCCCATACACTCGTTTGCACACTCTCACGTGCGGGTATCGCCGCCAAGGACGCCGCCGATGCGCACTCGCAACGTCCTCGGCGGAAGGAAGAAGGAAAATAAACACCCCTTGCCCACCATTCGCCGGCCTTTGGGAACAAATACATCGATGGGGGGTCAACAACCCCAAGAAAAGACAAACGAGGAGGGTGCGGATTTGCTTCTCTATCTGGCAGCCTCGCCGTCTCCGGCCCGTCCGACCAAGAGGCGATTCGATAGTAACAATCATGTTGCCCACAATCACCACCTTCTAATGGAACCGCCATCGACTCCACCGCAGAAGCACTTGGGCCTTCTTAGCAGCAACAGGTTGGCGTTGCCCTCGTCCATGATGACGACACCTGGAGGCGGAAATCCGTTCCCCAATACTCCTGGCTTTGGCTTCGACTTTTCCGACTTCGTTCACATGACGCCTAGTCCGGCGCAGAAGCCTTGGAAGACGCCAATGGCTAAGACGCCGCTCAGCGTTTCACGGAGGCGTCTCACGTTTGATGAATAGCCTTGATGTTTACGAATCTCTTTTTATCCCCTCTTCTCTTGGTTTGCTTTCCGCTACTGTCCGATTCCCCACTTTTGTTTGACGAAAAAAAATACCATTACATCACACGTTGGGTCATCTACGCTCTTGGTAGCATAGTCCTCCTTTGTTGGTTCCATGATACCTCTTGGGAATGCCGGCGAGTGCTTCTCTTTCTTCTTATTCCCCCCTTTTTTTCATACCTAGTTAGCATCGGGCCCGCAACTTTTGCAGGTCCTGATCTGAGTTTTGCCTGGAGCTTTGGAGTTTACGTTTTTGTTACGACCCCTAGACTCTTCTTGGTTCTCTCCATCAGTCACTTCGTCACCCGCTTCGTCAGCAGCGTAAAGTTGCAGTGGTGACGTCGATTCGACACGAGTCAAGTGAGGACCGATGAAGAGGCCAAAGGGGGTTATAACCCTAGAGTGTGCTTTATTATGAACGACCAAAAAATTGACGCAAGATTGGATGGAGTTGTTTGTCTATACCACGGGCGTTGGGTGCCTTTTGTTTGTCATCCTGTTTTCTTGCTTTCTTCAAGTTTGCTGGCTTGTTCACCAGCGGGGTCGGTTTGGGGTTTTCGAACTGAAAACCATGGTTGGGAGGGGCGACGACATTTATGAGGTACGAAAAGCTGGGAGATCAGAAGTCAAAAATATCCTGTCTCCGTCTTCAGGGACGTGCTGTGTCGGAATAATTATCCAGGGCACATTGTTCCACCGCGGCGTCATTGGATATATGATGAACATATCGGGGGAACACGAGACAAATTGGGAATGCGGTGTTGTGTAGAGCGAAATTCAAATACTGGCCCAGTTGTTTTGCTAAAACAGTGGGTTAATTCAGTCTCTCCCATCCTGTCTTCTTCGTTATACCAGCTGGTTGAACTTGTGTTGTTTGTATTCCCTTTGCGTCAGCACTTCCCCTGAGTTTGTAGTGCAGACGAAAAAAGTAAGGTACGACGCGTGAGGGTTAATATTGCGGCGCAGCTATCACATTTACGCGTCATCATCAACGTGGTTGACCAATGATATATAGCCTATGGTCACACAGTCCTGGCGAGCTTCGAATAAATCGGTGACCCATGCCCCCGTACAGATCCAGTGATGAATTCCACTTACGTTCATAATTTATGACACAAAGCAAAGTGAAAACCTGCAGCGTCAGTGAGACGCGGTCGTGGTTATGATTCCCGTATGGTGCTGCAGAGTTCCTCGACGACGGGTACGACAAGGTATCGGAAAAGGCTTTTCATCTAAGTCGAGATCCACAATCAGCCTACGCTGTCTGATTGAATATAAAAGTTCCGCTGTCCATTCCTTCCTCTTGAAACACCATTCATTCCCTCTCAAAACAGCACGCGATGAGTGACTGGCAAAGTGAAAGAAAAAAGCCGCGACAAGGACATGAGCAAGCTATGCCGGAGGTCTTTCACATTGTCAAAATATACAGCAAGTATAATGGAAAGCAAAGTAAGTTGGGAAACAAACAGCCCCCACGACGCCTCTTCGACGTGTTTATACAAATCCCGCCAGCATCATCCGTAGTAAACGCCCAGAAGAGACCATTGTGAGACTCAACAAACAACAATAACCAATATGATATACATGAATCAAGTTCGGAAAGAAGGGTGCCACTCAAGAAAGTCCTTTGCCATCCATGCAATTGCCGTTTGGTACTCCATAACCATAACCATGATGCCGTCCGTGTTTCTCCCATACAAGCAACCAAACTCCTCTTGACAACTTACCAAACAAAACCTTATCATGAACTTTGGTCGTTCAGTTCGTTGCTTCGATCCTCCCCTTTTCTCCTTCTTCCCTTTAAAGTATCATGTAATGACCATGGTCAAATAGCACCCCCTCTCATCATCAAGAGATCCCGTCTGCTACTGCTGCCACTACTCTTCTGTTTCCCTTTGCCCTTCCCTAGAATTTCATGGACATGGCTACCGCCCTTGCCACCTTTCCCCCCAGAACCTGAGGGCCCGGCCTGATTCGCCCTCCACTGATCGCGCATTTGACGGATACGATCTTCGCGCTCCATCTCCTCCACACAATCGGCAAGGCGCTGGCGCACTTTGTCGTTCTCGGCAAACTTCTTGGCCTCGATTCGCATCCGGACGATGAACCGAACAGCTGTGAGTGCCTTCTTGAGGAGCTTGCTCGGGGCAGGTCTTGGTTGTTGTTTCTTCGAGCTCAGCGGGGGTGAGAGAAGGCCGTGGTGCTGTTGGGTCTTCTTGACGGAAGACAGTTGGCCGAGGGCTTTGCGGGATGTAGGGTTGTTGTTGGTGCTCAGTTCGGCGCGGATCCGGTTGATGATTGCTAGATCTGCCTTGTTGCTGTGGTGAGGAGTCAGGTTAGTTGATTTGTGTCGTGCATCGAAAAGAAGGGAAGGGGGGGAGGTGGCATACCAAGCATCGCGGATCTGAACCTCCAACGTCAGATACCTCTTGGCGAACGCTGCATCCTTTCTCAACCTTGCTTCGCGATCCCAGCATGCCTTCATCCACTCCATTTGCATTACCAATCCTCTGATCTCCTTCTCGTGCCTCCTCTCCGCCGCCTCAGCCGCGCGGATGATAGCTTCCGTGTCCGCGTCAAACGCTCCATCAGCAATCTTAGCCTTGGACCGGGTGTACACCAGTGCCTTTAGATCGTGGCCCTTAGCCTTTGCGATCTCCTCAACAGCCTCATTGACCACCATCTCAGCCTCTCTGACAGCCTTCTCCTTTTCATATGTAAGCGTCTTGACATCTCGGTGTAGCCTCTCCGCACTAGCCCTGTATGCAGCTCGTTCGCTTCGCGCCCGCTCGAGCTTCTTGCGCAACGCGACCTCAATGGCCATCATCTCCTCGAGTGCCTCACGCTGCTCCCTCACCTCGCGGTCGAGCTTATCGGCAGCAAGTTGTGACTCCTTCAGCATGCCATGCAGGTCGCGACGCTCTTCGAGTGACATAGACATGTCGCTTAGGAGGCTGTTGTCGAGATCAGCTGCGTGGTGCTTGCCAAGCTTATTAGCCCGCTGCTTCTGGTCTTCAAGGGAAGCTGCCACGAGCTCATTGCGTTCGCGCTTGTACTTCTCGCCCCGCTCTTTGTATTTCTTGAGAGCCTGTTCATGTGCCTGTTGGGCCTCTTCGGCGGCAATTTGCGCTTCGTCAAGAAGCTGCTCGAGCTCCATCTTCTCGTCTTCAAGATCTTCAAACTGCCGTTGAATCTCTTCCGCGGAAGCACTGGCCTTGCGCTCAGCTTCGCGGAGGGCTTTCTTCAAGTCGTAAATAGACTGGTGGGCTGTGGTCAGTTGGTGCCGAAGTTCCGAGATCTCGTTCTTCTGGGCGGAGCCGCCGTGGGAGGATAAAGGAGATACTGCAAGCTTGCTGATTGTGGCTTCGTGGACCCTGCGCTCCAGCTCGGCGATCTGTCGCTTGAGCAACTTGATGGTCTCTTTTTGGGCGGCCTCGCGTTGAAGAAGCTCAATCTCCTTCTTCCTTGCAGCAGTAAGGTCACGCTGGAGGAGGGAAATTTCGTGATTGCCTTCAGCTCCGCCAAGGTTAGGGAACAAAGAAGAAGTGGCCTTCTGTGTCTCAAGCTCTGCAATGCGGCGCTCAAGTTCGCGAATGGTTCGGCGAGCTGTCACCAGTTCTCCCGGCGCCGATGATGACGAATCGTGAACCTTGGCCTGGAGCTGAAGAATTTCTTGGCTGAGGCGCTCTTCCTCAGCAGAGGCCTTCTCGATCTCCCCCTCGAGAGACTTCTGCATGTTGCGTTGTTGTTCAAGAAGAGACCGGTTCTCTTCTCTTAACCTACGGACTTCATTGTCCAGCCTTGTCTTCGCGGAGCGCAAGTTAAGCTTCTCCTGGTCAAGTTGGAATGTATCCTGGTCAGGACCTTGGTCCTTATGTTGCTGAAGTTCCGCCTCTAACTCGTCACGTTCGGCCGTGGTGTGAGATAGGTTTATCCTCAGGGAGCGAGCCTCGGCGTCGAGATTGTTATACCGTTCTTGCAGCAATTTCTTTTCTCTCGTAATCCGAGCCAGATTCTCACTGGCATCCGCCAGCTGAAGTTTCAAACTCGCTGCATTTTCATTGTACGGCTGGGCATTGGCACCCAAGGCATTCATCGAAGCTCTAGTACCATTCGATGTGGCCTGGGCGGAAGCAAGTTTCTGCTTGAGATCGTCGCATTCTTTTTGCACTTGTTCGAGATCCTGATCGGCTCTCTCAGACTCCTCATCCAGAGCAGCCTGCAGGACCTCTACTTCATCCTCCAGCGCCGCAACCTTGTCCGTCTGTGCTTGGTAATCGAGCTGGGTCTGGCGGTGTTGGTCTTGCACTTGGCGCATTTCCTTTCGAAGATCCTCTAGCATTTGCTGACGAGACTGAAGGTTCTGTTGCAGTTCTTGGATCTGCCGGCTCAGAAGTTCCTCTTCCCTCTTGTGCCGCTCATTTTCTAGCTGGAGAGCCTGCTGCATCCTTGCCTCCTTGTTGGAAAGGTTCCCTTCTAACTGCTGTAGCTGATCAAGTGACATTTGGAGGCCAGAAGCCCGCTCTTGGGCCCTGCTCAGCTCCGCTTGCAGTTGTCGACGCTCAGCTTCCCACTTCTCACTGTCGTTATCGTACAGATTATCCTTTTCGCGGCATTCGGCCTGAAGATCGGAGATTTCGTTGTTCAGACGCTTCATCTCCTCCGCGTATTGGGCCCGTAGGTTCTGTTCGACACCGAGAGTATGGTTATTTAGACGGACCATCTCGTCCTTGTACTGTGCCCGAATGTTCTGCTCAATGTTAAGCGCATTCTGCCGTTCACGTTCCATATTAAGTTCGAGCGCTGAGACTGCAGTCTGCAAACCGGACATTTCGCGCCGCAAAGAGGCAGATTCGTTCGCCATGGCATCGTGGCGCTCCTGCAAGAGTTGCTTTTCGCTGGAAAGCTGATCGAGTTGCGCCTGCCCCCGTTCCAGCCTAGCTGCCATGGATGCGCGAGTTTGCTCGAGTGATTGTCGCTCCTGCTGCACCTGGCGAAGGGTCGACTTGAGGTTCTCAACTTCGGCGGACTGCGCATCGCGCTGTTGTGCTATCGTCAGGCACTCTTGTCGGGAATTTTCGAGTTCGCTTTGGAGGCGGGCAACCTTTTCCTCGACCTGTCGTGAAAGGCCCTTGGTCATGACCGACTTGTTTGCCATCTCGTTCTGCAATTCTTGCAAGTTCGCCTCCGCCCTCTCCTTCTGTGTGATGGCCTCTTCCGCCTTATCCTTGATGTCGTCTAATTGCTGCTCAAGACGCCTAATTTCGTGTTGAAGATCCTCGATGGTTTCCCGGGCCTCTTGTAGCGCTTCGCTGGATGGTGCCTTGTCCTCTTTCTCCTCCAACTCGGCGATCCGTTCTTGAGCCTCTTTTAGTTGCTCCTCAAACTCAGCGGCCTTTTCCCTCAGCTCCTCTACCTCTTCCTCATGTTCGTCGATGGTTAGGTCCTTTTGTCGAATATCATGCTCCAAGTCGGCGATATGCTCCTGTAGCTCTTCAAGCTTCTCGTTCTGGTCCTGGCCCTGGCCCTGGCCATGCTCGAGTAGTTGTTGAAGGCGTCGTATCTCGGCCTCCTTTTCCTCCACCAACTGCCGCAAGCGCTCTAGTTCGGCAAGCTGATTCCCGTCTGAGAATTTCTTGGTCGCCTTCTCTTGCAATTCCATCATCTGGGCTCGATACTTCTCGAGTTCCTTCTCGGCGGAGGTAAGGGTCTTCTTGTAGCGCTGGAGGTCCCGCTGCATGGTAGCCTTGTCAACCTTGAGCTCAGTATTCTCCTTGAGCGCAGCCTCGCTGAACCCCGGCCCTGCCTTTCGAAGCGCCTCTTCCAGGAAGTGAATCTTGAGCTTCAAACCGAAGTTTTCCTTCTCTATCTTGTTGACAACATTCTCTTGCTCGCGCAGTGACAGTTGATTGCCGGCAGCCAGAGGGCCCTTATCGCCTCCTCGCCGCCTTATGGTGATTGGTGTCGTCACTTCTGTACTGGAAACGGTCGCATCGTTTGGTAGAGGTGTGTAGGAGCTGTATACTGAGGTGTTGAGCTTGGGCAACGGCGTGATGTCCTCGTCTATCCTCTCCAAGAAATTCGGTGTCGTCCGGCCATTCTCCTTGCCGGGCAGGCGCCTTGCACTGTTTCTCGTGGCTGATTTGAGGAGGGGTGTGAATTCTGGACCGCCCACATTGATGTTGCCGTTGGCTTGGACATTGCGCCGGTTCGTGAAGGGAGCACGGGGAGCAGGGGCGCCCCGTGGTGTCGAAAGGTTCGGTCGGTTGCCATTTCGGAGTTGCTGGGCAATGTTTGCATCTTTAGAGGGCGAGTGGAAGGAGAGCTCTTGCGACAAGTCAAAGTCGGGTTGGCGGTCGAGAAAAGTCGCGTCGCCGATGGCAGTGCGCGGCGTGCCCAGGCCCTCGACGCCCGGCTGGACCATTTTGGCGGCAGGCCTTAGGTAACAATGTCGTGTTCTCTGTTGGGTATGTATTCCTCATAGATGGTCTGATTGTTGTGGTAGTTGGGGGAGTAGTGGCTATGGTGGGCGGTGGTCGTGATGATGATGGTTGAGGTCGTGAGATGTATTCGTTATTGTTGTTGTTCTTGTTACTGCTGCTTGACGCAACTCAGCTACCAGAGGCAACCGGACGTCCTCGCTGATGAATGAAAGACACGACGCAAGCAGGTTGTAAAAAGCGATGAATCGTAAAGACAAAATTCAGGACATGGTTTGGCATGGCATTTGGCGGGATGGTAGAATTACACTTCACGCTCAGGTGCGGTACAGCGCTTCCTGCAGTGAAAGCGCGTTGCGACAGTGGCCCCTGCATGGCCAGCGCAGCTTTTTGTTTACTTGCGACAGTCTTGGCCAACCGGACGAACCTTCGCACGCACCAGCAAAGTGTTTGAACCTTCCTTGGTGCCCAAGCGATTTGACGGCGCCTTTTTCGTTACCTACCCTGGAGCTACGCTACAACCATGGGCAGTTCCATGTCATACAAGTATACAAACAAACAATTGCTGTCGGCGCATGCCCACAACAACCACTTGGACTAATAAACTTGCTCTTGGCTGATTTTTTATTTTTTTTTCAACTAGCCACCGAGAGCGCAATGCTCTGAGGATTTTCGTATTATATCAAACTACCAACCTCCTTCGCTGCTGTTGCTATAAACCGCCGCATGGCCATCATTGCTCAATAGCATCGCGGCTGCCCCTACGATATTCACAGGCAACCCAATCCAGTAGCAGTGGACAAGCAAGAACAACATGCGAAGGTGGCAGGCGGGCACTTCAGTTAACTGAAAACTTCCCAAGTGGTAGTTGACTGGATTCGACGGTCATCGAAACAGACAGCTCGAATTAAAACACGTTGATGTAGACCTCGACATAACTCAACTGAAGAGAAAGACTGGAAGGGCCCGCACCAACCGAATGAGGTCTCATCGCTACCCACATCCTCCAACGATATCTCCCGTCACCCCATCAACAGAACAAACAAACCCCTGAACAAAACAAAAGAACCAAAACAGGAGAAACAAAAAAAAAAACAGCCAAGGCCTCGCCCCCAGGAAGGATCAGGAAAATAATACATTTACTTCACACACTCTCTATACAAACTATACAAACCATCCTGACAATGTCCACCCACCTGCCCCCCTCCGCGCCGCCCGTGATCTTTTCCCCCTCCGTCGCCCGCGCCGCCGCCTCCACCGCCAAAGACTGGTCCTACATCGACTCCTGGCTTCTTTCCAAATACGCGCCCCTACCAGCACATATCAAAGTGCCCTCCTTCGAGCGAGACCCAGACACTCTCAAGGCTCTCCTGGCCCTAGCCGCCGCCAACGAAGCAGCCGATGATTCTCGCCAGCAGATCGCCGACCTGGAATCTGCTGCTTTGGCGAAACTAAACAATACCAACAATAATACTGCGACCTCCTCTCCTGCTGACCAGACCGTTGCTGCACAAGAAGATCCCTTGACTTCAACGTCAACGTCAACGTCAGCGGCCGAGACTTACCAAGAGGCAAAAACCGCAATCCTAACTTCCCTCTCCTCCTCCCTCACCCCTTCCGGCAAGGAAGCGCTAACGTCCCTCTCATCCCTCTCGCAAACCCTCTCCCTGCCCCCCTCCCGAGCCGACCCCCTCCACCTTGCCTCCTCTCTCCTCTCGCTTTCAACTGAGCTCAACAACCTCGAACAGACACAACAGCGACTGGACTTGGTCAACTCGCACATCACCCGCGCCACAGCCTCCATCGACAAGTTACTCTTTCAGCTGCGAAAGGACCAAGGTTACAGCCCGGTTGCCGGGTTAGCAAAGGAAAATCTGGAAGTGCAGCGACGGATTAAAACGCTGACGGGACAGACGTTGCCGCAGTTGACGGACAGGGTGGCGAACTTGGCAAGTGTTGTCGCCGTTGCTGAAAGTGAGGGTGGTGCTGTTGGCGAGGAGGGAGGAGGAGGAGGAGAAGGCATGATGACGGTTGAGCAGGTGCGAAGGGAACAGGAGGCTTATTTGGAGTTGTTGAGGCGCAAGCAAGAATTGGATGTTCAGCTCCAGCCGTTTCAAGGGTTGCCGCCTGATACAGAGCAAGCGAGACGGGAGTTGGAGGGGTTGAGGGAAGAGTTGAGATCGTTGACGAGTAGGAGGGATGAGGCGTTTGAAGGGTTAGTTGAAGGGGGGTTGTCACCGGAGAAAGAGATCCGTGGACGGGGATAATGGCAATTCGCAACAATGAAAGAGGGAGAATGCCATGGTGTTTGGATTTTTCGGTTACTTTGATGAAAACCCGATGATTATTTTAACCCTCCATCACGCAACATACTCTGGCCTCACACCCTTCTCACTTATACCACCTCTTTCGTGTTCCTTCTCAGACCAGAGCCTACCTTCTCTTCATGTATATAAAGCCGGGCTCACTTGTGTCATCTCTCCAGTCCGGTGTTTCCACCTCCGTATCGTCGTCGGGCGTCTCCATTATATTACACGCGAGCATGGTGTCTGCTCTAGTCAGCTGTTATCAAATGCCACAGAAAAAAGCTTGAAACAACGCATGCATGCCAAAGCCACGAAACCAATAACGTGTAGAACCAACAAAAGCAGAACATCAAATTCAGAAAGTAGGTAATCATTGCTGGGCTCGCTTGCCTCTTCCTGCCACTGCCCCTCCCAGTCTTCCAAATGGCCTTCCGAGTGTTCGGGTTTTTGTCGGAGGCGCAGCCACCGGCGGATCCTTTGCCGGAACAGGAGGCGCCCGCCCTCCTGCTCCTTCCCTGCCGGTGCCCTTGGCATCCATTGCGGCCTCGCCTCCTCCTATCCTCAGATCACTCAACGCCGACGAAGCGTCGTCTGTATCTCCGCGTTGAAGGCGCCTGGCACGTTCCTGGACTGATCGGAATTTCTCTAGCAGTTCAGTCCAGCGGATGATGCTGTCGTCTCTTCCCTTAAGTCGATTGGGGCGGTCAAATGTGGACGCACTTGGTGTAGTAGCAGTGCTGCGGGTCAACAACATGTGAGTATCGATTCCTGAAGTGCATTTACGGCTTGGGGACGGTAGCGGTGTTGAAGAGGGGGAGCCGACAAGCGCCTCGGCGACTGAGCCATGTCGCGGGTGAGACAAATGGGCGCCTCCTCCACTAACACCATTCCCAGTGGCAGAGTTGACATACGGTCTAGGCGCAATATGGAGATAGCCGATCGAGCTGACGCTGTTGAGGCGGTTTTTCAGGGCCGCAAAGGCCGATGATTGCGGTAGAAGCATCAAAAGTCCGTAGAGACACTTGTACAGGTGTGGGTATTTTTCCGGCTCGAGTAGTTGCAAACGAAGATCTGGTCATTGTTAGCTAGCTGTCAATAGGTGTAAAGGAGGGGTACTGGAAGGAAAAGGTACAAGTGAAAACCGGCGACTCCAGTAGTTGAACCAGCTTGTCGATCTGGATGAGCATGTTGACCGTCATCTCAAGCTCGGCACTATGAGCTAGTTAGCAGCGTAAAATACAGAGAGCCAGGGAAATGCACACAATATCTGCAAGAGATTGTAAGCCTGTTCGTAGGCTTGTGCTAGCAGGCAGAGCGAGAAAGTTGCTACTGCATTGTAACACCATGATCGGAAAAGCGCTACAAAGAACGTTTGACCATCCTAACAGTTGTCAGCGTCATATTTGAAGGCTTTACAGAACGCGACGATGATTTCCTACCTTTGTCTCGAGGTTCCTGAGCCGCTTCCGCAACTCCGCTAGTTCAGGGGCGGTAATGAGATTGTTGTTGAGGTTTTGCACCATTATACTCGCGAACTCGACGTCCTCTTCCTTTTCGATACAATCAGCCAATGTTCTGTAGATCCGCTCGGCGCTGAGACTTGTGCAAAGTTGTCGGATTATGAGGTTGCCCCTCGTCTCTAGAAGCTTTCTGTCGGTCGAAAATAACTGCAGTAGGTTAACCATGAAGTTGGAGAAATAGTCGTCTTCACTGTTTCTCGAAATTTGGGAGAGAAGCTGCAAATCCTTGGTAACGACTGCTTCTGCAGGGTCGGAAAGGGTCTTGAGCAAGGCTGGGAAAGTCCCATCGTTGAAAGCCAACACTTTTCTGGGCGCTTTTCGGTGCAGCATGATCAACCATGTCAGGGCAGCAACACGGGTAGCCTCGTGATCGTTCAGGAACAACAGTGTCAGTGAGTTCACGGCAGCAACATAGTCTAGGTCAGCTTGAGGTGTTGGCTGAGGTGTTGGCTGAGGCGCGACTGCCGGAGTAGGGGCTCGTTCAGGTGGCCTCGACTGAGCTGGTGTCGGACTGCGGAGGTCGAGGTCTCGTGAACTAGACAAAGACGCACGATTGCTCGCATTTCCGTTCAGTCGCTCAATGGAAGCCGGTGGGGCGGATACAAGATCTGCTTCGTCAGAAAGAGAAACCACGTAGTCCATCAGCGAGTTATTGACTCTGGCGGCGGCTTGGCGAATCGATTCAACCCCGCTAGCCATAGCCGGCAGCAAATGTGCCAGTATCTTGGGCGTAAATGGCAATACTTCTTCCGGGCAGATTTCGAGGAATTCAACGATCCAGCGTAGCGATTCTAGAAGTCCGTCCTCTTCTGGAAAATCCATCAGATTTTTCTGGCGACTGGTCCGAGGGTGAGAGGTAGACATACCTAAGGGCGAATCGAGAGTGGCTGTTAGTATCTCCAGGATGGCCTTGTAGTTGATTTGTACGTCCTGCCCGGGAACCCAGTCATCCTCGCTGCTAACATCATCGTCGTCCTCGTTTGCCGTAATGGAGTCGACCTCGTCCCCATCCTCAAGGGGCCGGCCACCACCGCTACCGATCGAGTCTTTTCTGCTTCGCCTTGCCGCCTCTCTGGACCTCTTGCTCTCGGTTATTCCCTTCTTGACTTGAGCGATGCGTTTGATCTCAGCCAGGAACTTGTCCAAGCAACCCTGAGTAGCAACATGGACGTCTCGGTTGGAGTCACTAAGAAAACGCAAAAGTCCCCCAAGGAATTCAGGCAGGTAGGTGACAAGCTCAAGATCGGGAATCGAGTCCAGCAGAGTAATCCAACCGACTAAGAAGGTTCTGCTGAAGGGATTCAGGGCGAAGATGCGCTCCCGCAGCAGGGGGATGAATTTTTGCAAGGAGAAGGCAGTGGGCAAGTCTAGTTGTTCGTCGTTGGCGTTCTTATCGTCTCCGTCGAAGTCCTGAGGCTGCTGTAGCACTGAAACATAGGTCGCGGCCGATTCCGATACAATATCTTTAACTAGGCGATCCAAAAGCTCGGCGCCGTTTTTGACAGAGAGCTCGGAGTCGGCGCCCAACTAGGTGCCGTGGATGAATATGTAAGTAACATGGTGCTGGAGAACGGACGGCCCGATTTTGACTTACTTTGCATAGGGCATCGAAAATATAGTTAAAGTAGACCAAAATTTCACCCTTGGCCACCTTGGCTATGTTGTACATAGCCTCACATGCATAATATCTTACCCGGGCATCCTGGTCCGTGAAGCAAGCAAGGACAGGAGGAACAATGAGCTCGAGGTACTTGGGAAGCTCCTGCTTGGAAGAGTGAGTAAGGGAATGGGGCAGTTTGATATGCTAACGGGGACGGATGTCAACCTACCGGGCCGAGTGCTATTGCGGCGGCAGCCAGGCCTATCAAGCCACCGTTGCGTGCATGAGGTTGATGAACAGCATACGCGTAGTCGTTGCAAAGCTGATCGAGGATAGCTTCGATTTTGGCATAGTCCTTGGCGGCGATCAGCTCACGTATGGTACGCTCCAGGCTGGCAGAGCGAACTTGTGTAAGTCTAGGGTCTCGATCGATAAAGAGTATCCATGAAAGGTCAACACCGTGAGAAGACTGGCCTGCGGAACCGGGAGGCGAGGCCATATCAATCCACGGAATGGCAAAGTGGAGGAAGGCGGTGATGACGGAGAAGCAGGGGAAACAAGACATACTCGAGTGCCCCGATCTTGCGCTTATCATATAGCTTGTCATTGAGGAAGCGCTGAATGTTCGCGTCCATGGCTCAGAAGGGTCTCGTCGGGCGTGCTCTTATTGATCAATAATCTAGACCTGGTGACTCGAGCACATGCTGCTATGCTCCAGACCCCGTTAGCGACCGAGACAGGACAGGAAGGACGGTTATGTCGGCCGTGTGCGCCGGTGGTTGACGGGATAACAGTGGTCAGGGAAAGGCCGACGGGGTTCCAACCAGCATACCTCCAGCAAGTGGCTATATGTCAAAGATGGATGGCGCTGCCGTGCTAGTCCAACCTGTCACCGACTTGGTCTGACCGCTCGATCTTTGGTCCTGCCTGAGTCGTCTGTACGTGTACGCCCTCGACGTCCTAGCACGAGAAGCTGGGTGAAGTTGGATGGTGTTGCGGCGCAGAGTGGAGCCTAGGAGCCTCTAGGTAATCCGGTAATATGGAAATGGAAAAGATAAAAGGTGAATAGGTAGGTGTGTTGATGCAGATCCAATGCACGGTTATAAGGTTGATGTGAATGCGACGATCTGCAAACGCTTTCCCAAGCTTTTGGCTCAACGGGATGCGGGATGCGGGATGGATGGATCAAGAAATGGATGGGTAGGTAGAGGAGGAGGAGGTGTTCGTCAGGCTCGCTGGTGACTGACGCGCGCCTGAACACTTGTCCTGCCTATAGCTAAGGTAAGTGTACCTCTCTGTACCTATCCGTGCTCTTTAGCGGCAGCCTTTCTTGCCGTCCTAAATGTCTCCAAACCGACGGAACTCGTACTAGCAATACCGACCTTCAATCTTGCTCAAAGAGGGGCGAAGATGCCCGATGATAATAAATAATACTCCAGGCAGAAAGTGTCAGTGACGTCGTGGTTCATGTTAGCCGCGCTTGACTGTTGGACGTGCTGCTTACTTACCTTAAACACGTAGGTAAAAGTAAATTACATGCAGAAGGTAACAGTGGAGGGCAGTGCAGTATTGTACCGGGCACCCTGATGGCAGGCTGTTGATACGTATGTTACGTATGTGTACGACCTATTACGGAATACAACATGTAGTCGTCTGATTGGAGCCCATCCTCGGCACAAGATGGCAACTTTGCCCAGGCGCATTTATCGTCTCAATGAGATACCTCTCTACTATAGTTCTACTATACAATATATGATATAAGTAAACGCAAGCGAGGTGCTTCGAGCAGTCGAAACCACCAAGAATGCCAATATTCGTCGTTGGACCATACATAAGCTCGAGATAAGGAAGATGATGGTTCTCGTGACCTATTCAGTTCATCTTTAATGTGCGGGGTAAGGTAAGTAACAGGCCGTACAGGTACATACGCGGTTATACGTGCCTACCCACTGCAGTGGTGCCGCACCCCAACTTCGATAAGGGCTCTTTCCTTCCTCTTTACCTGGGCCGCAGGACTGCTGGATTACCACCCATCCACCCATCCTCTTCCAACTCCAACTCCAACGCCGCGTCATGTTCTTACTTCCACAAGCTATGCCTCTTTTCTCGACATCTACCTATCGGGACTATTCCATCCTTTCATGCTCACATGCATAGTTTTCGCCTTTTTTTGTTACACGCCCGAATGATTACAGCTTCGTGTCACCACCGCTTCCTGATAGCTCGTCATTGTGCTGCTCCAAACATTCCGTTCGGATAGCTTAAAGTGATCACAAAGAGGAGGAAGCTCACGGAAAAGCTTCCCAAACCGGTGTCATTTACAGTTTGAATCAAAGGAAATTCAGACGTGGTGACATCTCCGAGTGGTCTAGCTATTTAGGAGTCTTTGGATACGAAACCACAAGGATCAAGTGACTGTCTGATTTTGGTCATGCTTTCTACACGATAGGAAAAAAGAAGAAAACCTTTTTAATACAGCATGCTTCTGATTTTTTGACACATAAATACGAGGCATTGTAGCCGCCTCAAGTTGTGCCTTGTCTCCCGCCTCTGGCCACCATTCCCGTCCATGGATTTCCCGTATCTAATACATCTCGCTATGCCAGAAGCACCTCATTAGTGAGCATGAGAATGCCCAATGCTGCCATCGACAATAGTCTGCTGGCACTTCTTCAAAATAGCCGCCTGCCTAGCCACATCTGCCAGTCTTCCAATGACATGCTTGTTTCCTTCCACGAATCCGTACAGCGCATAGGGGATGCCGACATCGTCGCAAAACTCCTGGACCAGCTTCTGCGTCTTGCGGAGGTTGTGCCTAGGAATGCGCGGGTATAAGTGGTGAATAGCCTGGAACTGGAGGCCGCCGTGGAAGAAGTCCAGCCACTCCGGGCAGTCGACGTCCATGGTCGTGCGCAGCATGCGCTGCGGGAAGGACTCGTGGGGGCCCAGGTCAGAGGTTGACATGGCGAAGTGAGAAAGCGTGATTTGCACGTGCAGCGGGCTGGTAACCGCGTGGGAGATCATAAAGAAAATGAAGCGGTTCCAGTTGCCGTCGATCGCCTTGTACATGATCCCGTATCCGAACCAGTACCAGAAAAAGACCTGGCCGGCAAGCTCGAGATGTCGGTGCCACCACGCAGGACCGTGCTTGGGTGCCTGGCCCTTGAGAAGGTACTCCCACGAGAGACGATAGAGGTTCAGGCGGGCGAACATCATGACGATGTAGTAGAGGTAGTGCTGGAGGGAGACGAAGAATTTGGCAGCCATGTCGTACTCCATGACACGGTCGTAGTAGGTGGACCGCAGGTTGGTGAAGAAACGGTGCGAGATGGCGAAGAAGGGCAGATGTTCGATATCCGGATCGTGCTCGGGGCTGTTGGTGATGATGTGGTGCACGTTATGGTTGCGCTTCCACCAGCCCAGACTCAGACCACCGATGAAGTCGGCAATGATTATACCAATGACAGTGTCGACGTGGAAATGGTGCGTGATACCCATGTGACCCGCGTCGTGAGCAGTAAAGACCAACTGATGCCAGAAGGAGCCAAGACAGAAGGCGCTAGGAACGTACCAACCCCATTTCAGAAACAGAAGACAGCCGGTGAAGAGGAGGGTATAGCGGAACCCCTCGATGGCATAAGCAACGTAGTTGCAGTCATAGAGTCCTTCGGCCTTGATGCGCTCATGAAGTTGACGATACTTTCGGATGACGGTATCTTGGGTCTCCTCGTCAAGGGGAGGGTACTTGTCGAGATCGAGTCTGATCTCTTGCCTCGTTAGGGCGTCGAGATGGGCCATACCATCCCTAGGGCCATTGTTGACGCGCTTGGCAGTGGGCTTCTCATCCTCAACGGAGGAGATCGAGGTGAATGAGTCGGATCGGCTCACAGCCGACTTCGACCGAGCGTTAGTACGGGCGCGGAGCTCGTTCGTCTCCGGAGCCGCATCTCCATCAAACACCGGGGATGGGGCCGGTGAAGGGGTCCGTGAGCTCTCCGAGTCGACAGAGGCGGCCTGACTCGCATAGGATGACGACAGGAAGCTAGTATCCTCGTCGTAGCTTGTAGCTTTGGACCTTGTCTCTGGCGATTCCTCTTCCCACTCTTCTCCTTGCTCTCCTCTCGGCCTGAACTTGCCTCCTTGTATCGGCGGCAAGAAGTTCTTCCATCTCCCTTCTATCCTGCCAACCCTGTACCTGTTCATCTGAGTTCTTGCTTCTGGGGAGTGTAGTCTATAGCGTCCCAAAAAGTCCACATTATAATGTCAGCGATTCATTCTTTCATCATTCATAATCAAAGTACACCGGATGAAATTTGGACCATCTCAGTTGGTGCATGATACTGTGTGTTTTACGCACCCATTTACTTCATCAGTCGCATCCCTCCCAATCATGTGCTTGATGGCCTTATCACCACCAGGGTGATATTTGACCCAAGGGTCTACCTTCAGGACATATTGGTCGACGATAATAATATGGCGTCCCTCAGATATCAAGGCCTCAATCTCACGGCGAGATATCAGTGGGTATGTCCGCTCAGTTGTTTTGACTGTCGACTGTTGAGCCGTTCCGGTAGCCTCGGCAGCGGCGCGTGATGGTGGAGATTCAGACGCCATTGTTGTGTTTGCGCGGGGCTTTTGTGGTGTAAACAAAGAATATAGGGCGTATAAAAGATGAACCAAAACGCCCGCCGTCTCGGTTCAGGTTGTGGACAGGGAAAGGTTGTGGTGTTGTCTTCTCAACAGTCCAGGAAACCCAAGGTTGGTTTTGTTGATAGAAATTCCGAGGGCACTTGTTGATCTTAGTAGTTTAGGTACGTATCGAGGGGGGTGGGTTGGACGTTGAAGGTGGGACGGATAGGGCCACAGAGGTTGGTGGGTGGTTCGATAGATCGTATTCTGATGCGGGTGCTGTTCCTGGGACAGTGGACATTACCCAAAACAACGGGCATGGGACGAGGTGACATTGGATGAGATTATTCCTAGGTGGCCACTGGCGTTGACCGAGTGGAAACCTCACCGCTGTCCACAAAGGCGCGTCCACCCAGCTCCAGGCCGTCTTGGCGTTTGCTGCACCACATAGGGGCCACACAAGGACGACGAAGAACCAGGGGTTCTTGCCACCCCAACATTTGCATCTGGAACTAACCACAATTTGGTTTGTCAATCAGGTCGGTGGAGTCTCTTAGACCCTTGTGATTCGAGGTATCAGCTGCTTGCACGTTATTGAACATGGGTAAAGGACCAAAGGATAACAGCCAACATTTGAACACTTGGAGATTGGAGAGGGTTAGGATCTACAGTTAGTGGTTTAAAATACGAATAACGTCATGCCAAGCAATACCAGTAAGGCCAGAAGGAAGGGAAGATTGGTGTTCACGAGACTGCTACGCGGACTGAGAAGTTGAATGACACCGGCTCCGAGACTAGACAAAGTGATCCAAGAAATCCACAATCCTCTATAACTCAATGCTAACATAAAAATAACCAGCAGCCCCTAGCCTTCCCATTTGGCGACTAGCTTTTCTGTATCTTTTAAATCTCGTGTATTCATCGAGTCTCGAACCCTGCCAGGGCCCGGTAAGGCCACGCAGCCTAGTCCAACCAGCAAGCGGCGTCTATTTAGCATGGCGTAGTGAAAATCCCCTATTAAACCTTTTAAGGGGAAAACCCGTGACTACAGTACAAGTACACACCTCCCATCCCGGTTCCATACTCCCATTGCTAGAAATCCAGACAGCACATTTATTTTGTGCTCATATACATCCAACCCCAGCCAGCTCCAGCTGTTTAGAAGTGGATAGCCTTGGAGTAGGTGGCCATGGCAGCCTCCTTGAAAGCCTCGGCGAGGGTAGGGTGGGCGTGGCAGGTGCGGGCAATATCCTCGGAAGAAGCACCGTACTCGAGGGCAAGGGTACCCTCAGCGATCATCTCACCGGCGTTGGGGCCGATGATGTGAACACCGAGAAGACGGTCGGTCTCGGGGTCGGCGATCATCTTGACCATACCCTCAGTGTCGAGGTTGGTCTTGGCGCGGGAGTTGGCGCTGAAGGGGAAGGTACCGATCTTGTAGGGGACACCGGCCTTCTTAAGCTCCTGCTCGGACTGGCCAACCCAGGCAACCTCGGGGAAGGTGTACATGACGGAGGGAATGCAGCCGTAGTTAACGTGGCCGTAACCCTTCTTGATGTACTCAATGGCAGCGACGGCCTCCTCCTCAGCCTTGTGGGCAAGCATGGGGCCGAAGGTGACATCACCAACGCAGCGAATGTGGGGGATCTTGGTGCGGTACTCGGAGTCGATGATGACGCGGCCGCGCTCATCCTTCTCGAGGCCAATGTTCTCGAGGCCGAGACCCTCGGTGTAGGGGCGGCGGCCAATAGCGACAAGGACGACATCGCCCTCGAGCTGTGTTCACATAATGTCAGTCAAAGCGCCAAAAATCAACAACATATTATCTGCGGGGCTGTCCAAAGCTACTCACAGTCTCGGGCTTGCCACCCTTGGCGGAGTCAACCTCAAGCTTGACGATCTCGCCAGACTTGTCACCGGAAACGACCTTGGTGCCGGTCTTGAAGTTGATGCCCTGCTTCTTCAGGATCTTCTGGATGGACTTGGCAACCTCAAGGTCCATGCCGGGGCCACCAATCTGGTCGAGGAACTCGATGACGGTGACCTGAGCGCCGAGGCGGGACCAGACGGAGGCCATCTCAAGACCAATGATACCACCACCGATGACGAGCATCTTCTCGGGGACCTTCTCGAGGGCAATGGCGCCAGTGCTGCTGATGACGCGCTTCTCGTCGATCTCAAGACCGGGGAAGGGGGTGACCTCGGAACCAGTGGCGATAAGGATGTTCTTGCCCTTGACGGAGGTCTCGCCGCCGTCGTTGAGCTTGACGTTGACGGTGTGCTCGTCGGCGAAAGAGCCGGCGCCCTTGATGTACTCGACGCCGTTCTTCTTGAGGAGGAACTCAACACCCTTGGTGAGGCCGCTGACGGACTGGTCCTTGGCCTTCATGAGCTGGGCGAGGTTGAGCTTGACATCGCCGACCTCGATACCGCGGTGTTTCGAGTCGTGGAGAATTTGGTGGTAAAGATGGGAGTTATTGAGGAGCGACTTGGAGGGAATGCAGCCGACGTTCAGGCAGGTACCGCCGAGGGTGCCGCGCTTCTCGATACAGGCGACCTATATCCAGGAAATATGCGAGATAGGAGTCAGATATTGCCATGATTCGCCGGTGTTGCGGTGTGGTTGATTTGCGATGCGACGCACCTTAAGACCCTCCTGGCCGGCCTTGATGGCAGCAACATAGCCAGCGACACCACCACCAATGATGACGAGATCCTTCTCCTCTACAGGCACATCAACAGTCAGCCGACCAGAATCCTTTGACGAGAACCAGCTCTTGATATTGGCAAACAGACCAGACTCGGTCGCATAAGTCCTCCTCAACCTGGGAGAGACGACGACAGGGAGGCTGTATGTAATCGTCAGGTCAGCCTCAGTATACGCGCATAAGAAGGCAAGGTGTCGGGGAATCCGCCGGCAACCGGGACGCTGAGCTTACCCCGAGGGCTTGAAGGCGGACCGGACGGCAGCACGGCCTATTAATCTCTGGGACAGCATGGTGAAAGATATGTGCTGAATGGAAAAACTAGAAATGGGAAACAGGAAAGATTCAAAAGAACGAGCACACTACGAAGAGATGCCCGGGGAAAGCAGGGAATGCGATTCGATGGTGAGAGGTGACGAGAGTGTGTGTACTGAACTGCAAAACGCCGCGGGAGAGACAATTGTTGGGATTCGAGAGGCGGAAGCTATTCACGGGAAGCGAAAAATGTCCAGTCCCACTTGTTCGGCTTGCCAGCCCGTCAGAGGCTCACATCGCCTCAGAGCGCACCCGCTTTCCACCGTGCCCGTCCCCAAACTTGCCCACTCGAGACAGCGCAGAGCGGAGTAGGTACCTAGTGCCTGCTACCGCTATTTAGTGTAAGTAGGCACCAACGTACACTACTGCCTTATGCCAGTGCTAAGCGGGACGGGCGGTCAGGGCAGGTCCGTTGCGGGCGCTCTCGCCGCTGTCACTGCTGCCCTCCATGACTGCTTCATCGAAACCCGGCATCCCCAAGTGCTCCTTAGGTACGTTACCGTCTACCGTTGCGCCCCATGATTGGTCAATATTCCAAATATCGCTTGGCATTGGATCCAGCAGCTGACTCCGAAAATTTGACATCTCGCACTCCCGCTAGCCTTTTTGCCCTGTGCTTGACAATTTGACATTGCTTGGCTGCTCAAGTCTCCCCAGTCGATCCCCTCTTTTGCTCCCCTCTTTACTCCGCTGTCAAATTGGAGAAGCATCGATAACGAAGCGAGCTGTCACTGGCCGTCTCCTCAGGAGCCCGGTATGATCGGACTACAGGCCTTCAGTTTGTTGTAGAACGACATGGAATGGCGGCCGAACACATGGCATTTCATCTCAAACCATCTCTGTCTCCTCCTCAATGTCCACAGTTAACAGTCCCGCCCGTCCGGCGACCCTCAAAAGAGACCCCATCCCCTCGTTGGAAAACGGAATGACATCATTGAGTGATATTTACAGACCACTATATTTCCGTGCTTCCCGCAGAGTCGAACTGCTCTCTCGATACTCAACAACTGTCCTCCCAAATAATAAATCGCTGTAGAAAAACGGTGGGCAAATACATCGGATCAAACAGACTTTAGTTGTAATCATCACATAAAACTTCGTCAAGGCATCAGCCATTTTGTCCTTTTGCATATGTGTGGTAATTATACTGTACTCCTATTCCCCAAGGTATCCAATCTGTATACAGGTATTCAACAACGTAAAACTATTCCACCAGCCCTTCAGCAGCGAGCAAAGCATGCTCCAAGGCCGCCATGGCCGTCTTGCAACCCTCCTTGACGAGCTTGGTGTTGGCCGCTCCTCCCGCGAGATCCGACTTCCGGACCACCTTCTTGATGAACCACTGCAGGCCCCTGGCAAGCTCGGGGACCCCTTCCACAGCCGCAAACACCGATGTGATCACCTCATCCCGGCCCTTGTCGCCGCCCTTTCCGGCTTCTAGAAGCACCGTAATCAACATGATCTCCACTAGCGCCCGCGTCTTGGTCTGTAGATAAGGGAGGTTGAGGCATTTGAGAATCGCCAGTCCTAGCGATCCGCCTGCCACCATGGTGCCGAATAGCTTTGCAATGTTTACAAGCCGCCGCATGTCCATCGCATCTTCGTCCTCCTCTTCCTCGATATCGTCGCCAAACACGGACTCTCCGAGACGCCTGAACAGTTTCCAGAGCGAGTCTTGGAACGCCCACCGGATTTTGCGATCCCCGCAAAGCTTCTTGGCCACCAAGGTGTAGTACGGGTTGTGGACCTGCTCGGCGCCGGCGCACTGGATGATCACGTATGGGATTTCTCTCTGTCGCTCCTTGTTCAGGCGCAACTTGAGGATGCGGTAGTAGGCATCTTCATAATCCGTGGCGGACATTATCGATACGAAAATGGACCGGCGCACGTCCGTGTTCATCTGGTTCTCTCTGGCAAGTTCTCCGAGGTCAGGCATGTCCTCGACATCCTCTAACACAAAGCTTTCGTCGTCCGAGTCAACATTATGCTCGATGACGTCGTCCTGAGTTGACGAGAAGGGCTTCTTGTCGCCGTCCTTATCTTTCCCCGCCCAGCTAGCGCCTACAAGCCACCACTTGCCCTTCTTGTCAGCATCGCGAATATCGGCAAGAGTCATCCGCAAAGGCTCGGGCGTCTTGGTGGTCTTCAGGGTGCCCAGAAGCTTCTTCATCTTGGTGGTATGTTCCGTGAGAACGGCGGAAGCGCCTAGTCCCGTCTTCATCTTGTTGTTCTTCAAGTCATTGATGGTCTCGATCATGAACTTGGTTCTAACGCTGAGGTTCTTCTCTCCAATCTTGGCGACAGCCGGGCGGATAAGGGTAACAATATCCTTGAGAGACATAGGGTCATCTTGTCGAAGGGCCGGGCCGGCAATGCGCACAATCCTGAGCAAAAGCTCCGCGTTCAGCTCCGACAGATCACCCAGCAGCACTCGAATGAAGTCGAAAAGCAAGTTGGGGCCCACGAGTTGAAAGTTGTAGAGTTCGGATAGGAAAGTGATGATGTTGGACGTCTGTTTTGGTACGTCTGGCCGCTCCTTTGCAGCCTCCTTGGCCTCTTCATAGTGCTTGTCGAATCGCTCAATCACTTCTTGAATAAGTTGTGCGCCGAAGTCCATGCCGATCACCTTGAAGATACCAGTAGCAAAACCAGCGGTAAGAACGAGCAACGTGTCAGGTAGCGTTGTTGGTTCGCAGACCTGAATGAGTAGGACATCGACAATGTTTGACGTGAGATGTTGTCGCGGGTTGTCGCGGTAAAGCTTTTCGAAGTCCATAATGATGGACAACAGATTTGACTCGGTCATCCTGTTGATAAGACCTTGTGTTTGACGGCGAATGCGGGCCACCAACTCCGCGTCCGAGCCTGCCTCCGCTCGCTTGGATGGCGGCACGTATTTTTCTACCGTCTGCCCTGTCGTAGGCGCAACGTATGGGTTTTCGCGGACTCGTTCTGGCGGCTGTTGTTCGGTTTGTTCGTCTTCGTCTTCGTCATCATCTTCGTCTTCGTCGAACTCTGCAAACCCATCTTCATCCTCGTCCTCGCCCGAGATTTCGTCTTCGCCATCTTCATCGGAACCACCCTCGAGCACGTCTTCGTTCTCGTCAAGATCGTCGTCTTCGTCGTCGGAGTGCAAGCCTTCTAATAGATCGTCCAAGCCATCGTCCTCGTCGTCCAACTCGGAGTCCTCCTCTTCCTCCTCTTCTAGTTCGGCTTCTTTCATCTTCTTCATCGCCGCCTCTTCTGCTTTCCTCCTCTTCGCCGCAAGCCACTCATCCGCTTCCGACTTTCGCTTCCTCTTCTGACTTGTTTCATCGTCTACGCCAGGGAGGCCTTCTAGCAGCTCAAGAAGACCGTCCTCCTCGAAGGACTTGGGAAGCGATTTGCGTCCCTTCTTGAGACCGAGCTTCTTTTCGAGGTCGGCGATCTCCTTGTCGTCTTGCGCCAGTCGTTCCAGGACGGTTTTCGAGATTTTTGGCTGCGACTTCGGTTTGGATTGTGTTGTTTCTTCTTCGTCTTCATCATCGTCCATGTCTTCATCTTCGTCAAGGTCTAGGTTGTCGTCGTCCCCCTCGTCCAGATCGATATCGTCCGCCTCATTAAAGCCCTCCTCGTCATCCTCTTCTTCCTCCACTAGTTGTTTCTTACCCTTCTTCAAAATGGGCTTGGCTTCCTTTGTAGATACTGGTTCGACCTTCTTGGTTGTTTCGGTGGTACGGCGCGTTCGGCATGGTAGCTTTTCGTGGACGAGACACGCTGGGTCTTTTTCTGTGTTCGCTCTGCTTTGCGACGATCCTTTCTCGACTGGAATTTATCTCTGCGACCTCCGGAAGATCGTTCTGTGATAGTTAGAACTTTGTCCCGAGAACCCTGATCGCCAGGCAGGAACGGCAGTGGCTGTGTGGGCGCATATGGAGTATGCTTACCGTCTACGCCGAGCTCCTTAAGAAGGTTGTCGGGCAGCTTTGGGGCCTTTATCCTCTTAGATGGTGGTCCCATGTTGTGATTTGTCGGGGCGAAAGAGTTGATGTGTTTGTTGGGGAGGACCTCCAGAATTTGCTGAACTTCACAAGAACGTCGCGAAGGACGGAAGGGATGCTGCGTAGGTTCTGTTCTGTTCGGAGACCGTGCTCCTGGGACCTTGCTGTCGTTATCGGATTTTTTTGCTTATCGGTCGATACAGGGGTCTAAATATGGTATGGTTTCCAACGTACAGGGATCCCTACAATCCATTCAGCTTCGTAGCTGCGGGGCCAAAAGCGCCAAGAGGGGAAGTGTGGGTCCTCAAATCTTGGGCCCCATGGTTTGGTTTTATGGAGCAGTTCCTCTCCATCACTCCAACAGACGGGAGCTGGCCAACACAGTGGAGAAGCTGCCACATTCGTTTGACACTCATCAATCATTCGAGGTTACCTTCACCATCACTCATCAACCAATTTGTTAGCTCGCTTTTTGAAGAGCAAACAACTGGACACGATGGGGCACCTAACTCACGGCGAGGTATTTCATGCGCTTTTTATTGACTGCCCTAAATAATACCTAGGTGACACTTACTGATCTGCGATCTGCTATTAACCCGCTATAGTTCTTCTCCAAGCTCACCGAGCTGTTCGACTACAGAAAGAACCAAGATCATGGAACCATCAACCTAGTACAAAAGAGGCGTACGTGTACCCAACACCGACCCGGCCCAGATTAGAGAGCCTTTCAGCCAGCCTTGCTGCCGTCATGAGACACACATCACAGTTTCCCCTTTGTACCTTCACGTCGTCCACCAATGCTAATCTCAAACCACAGTATCCTACAACACCACCACTACCACTGACAAAACCGACCCTCTCGCCGACCTCAACCCCTCCACCTCGCTACCAGTCCTCATCCGTGCCACCAACGCCAAGGGCAAGGACAGGAGGAAGGAAAAGGTCAAGCTGTCCACCGTTGTCGAGCCGGCCGACCTGGAGGCCTTTTACGGGCGGTACGCCGACGTGTGCAAGAAGGGCATGGGCGCGCTGAAGCCGAGAGACAGGACCAAGAGGAAAAAGCAGTCGAGGAAGAAGAAGCCCGCTGGTGTTGGCGCGGGTGGGACTTCCATGATGGCCATCCCTTGATTTTTCAAAAGCGTCGCAAATTATATCGTAGCTTTTCAGTTATTTTCTTGTGCCGTGTATGTCGGAGAGAGGAGGTAGATATATGATAGTACCCATATCAAGTCTTGTAATGCCCGCAAGTTCACCTTGGTTCCAGTCAAGTTGATATGGCGAGAGAGGCGGTGGTAAGAACTGCACCATGGCCTTCAGGGTTATAGAAGCTGAACGCCCCACTACTTTGTCATTTCCGGTCCAGACAATTCAGCAACTCAAAGTCCGGGCCTGTGGTTCTACTTGTTGGAAAAGGAGATGGATGGAAAGGGGAGAAACACCAGAGATAAAGTGAAGAAGCGTGAGGCGATGAGCTCCGTGTCTTGACAGAGAAGCCAGGAAGAGGAAAGTAAGAAAAAGTCACAATGATAACATTCAGAACGCTCGTCCCAACTCTGCTGGCTGGCATAAGTGACTTGATTGGAAGGGTCTATTAGCAAAGGTCATCACGCATACCTTAAAAAGACAACGAGACTGTCGAGGTGAAGCAGCAGCTACAAGATCCTGGCCTCCGGATAAGATACATTGAGCTACCCTCACGAGAATGCTTAAAAGGGGAGCCGGCTAACTTGTTTTCAGTTCGGTTCATACCACGAAAAACCAAGATCACGTCACATCACACTGGCTCTACCATGTCCCGGCCTTCATTCGGGTCACTGTGCGTCACAAATTTCATGTTTTCGAGGTCAACGGAGATGTCACCAGGTTCTCTTCGAGAGTACAGTCTAAAGGTGGTGATGTAGGAAAATGATCAACTGTCCATTTTGGGGGCCCGAACCGAAAACCACTTGCTGAGAAAAGGAGAAGAGCCAGTATTCAGCCGCAAGAAAAACGAGTTTCAGTCGGGTTCACTTCTCCCAAGTGCTAAACTCGGCAAGGAAAAGCATATTTGCCAATTCAACTTCCTCGACATCTTTCCTTCAATACCATCCTCCGCATGATTGTCATGCTGCCATCAGACTACTATCCCATCCCAGGTCAACGCTCTCGACTACTAAAATCCTGACCATAGCCACCAGTCCGTAGATGAGTAGTGCAATGGAAAAGAATGACCGAGGGCCACTTGGAAGGTAGGCCTCAATCGTCATATGATACTACACACCTCCGGACGCAAAATCCCAAACTGTGAAAAGAAATTTATTGCATCAACCAGTGTAGGTGACGCGATACCCCAAGATCAGTTTACATAATCTGATCCTGTGTCAGGCCACCATGGGGGTCGGTATCCATGCTGTCGCCACCAGCACCAGGGTTGAGGTACTTGACGAAGCTCAGACTGAGAGGACGTCCGCCGTACTGGTAACCCTGGAACTTCTGGATCGCGGTGTCGGCGGTGTCGGCACTGTCGAAACGAACGACGCCAGAGCCGCGAGAGCGACCGCTGGGCTCATACTGAATCTCAGCCTGCTCTACCTTACCAATAGTAGAGAAGAGCTCGACGAGATCCTCGTTGCTGGTCGACCAGGGGAGCTGATGTAAAACAGAAATGTCAGTAAAGTCGGATACTCGGTGGTACAAGGTTAAGATGTAACTTACGTTGCGGACATAGATGATCTCTGATCTTTCAGTACCAGAAGTAGCGAAGTCAGTGAACGGGTTGGGCTGAGCAGCCGGCTGGTTGGCATCGAAGCTGGGAGGGGCACCAGGAGCTCCTCCAAAGCCGCCACGACCACCGAAGCCACCTCCGAAGCCACCGCGGCCACCACCAAAGCCACCGCGACCGAAACCGCCGAAAGCGCCACGACCGCCGCCGAAGCCGCCGCGACCGCCAAAGCCACCAGGACCCATGCCAGCACCGGCGAAGCGATCCTCGCGAACCTCCAGCATGCGGCCCTGCCAGTCGTAGCCATTGAATTGCTGGATGGCATTCCGAGCGTCATCTGGAGTCTCGAATACGACGATGCCGGAGCCCTTGGGGCGGCCATCAGGTCCGATGTGAACGTCGGCGCGAATAACACCACCGTTACGGGCTATAACAAGTTAGCGATGAAAGTTACAGGTTACGCTGAAGTGTAAATTAAGTCGGCAACTTACCAGCTTGTCTGAACAGATCCTTCAGATCCTGCCAGCCAACATTGTAAGGCAGCTGTGAGAAAGGTTGGTTAGTGTGCCTCAAGATGGTAAGGGGCATGGATGGGGGATGGAACAGACGTTGGACACGTAGATCTGGCGGCCACCGCCACCAGCCATGGGACCACCACCGAAGCCGCCGGGGCCAGCATGGCCGGGCATTGCTCCATATCCGTTGGGGCCCATGCCGCCACCAAATCCACCGCGGGCAGCGGCTCCTCCTCCGGGGGGGCCGAAACGGGGCTCAGCCTCACGGTCCTAAAAGTAAGTTTAGTAGATTGTTCTTTTGATCATGATCTGGGTATCAACTTGCCTCGCGAACATAGACAAGTCTGCCCATGAGATTCTGGTTGCTCAGGGTAGCAACGGCGTTTTGAGCTTGCTCCCTGGTCGCATATTCCACAATACTAGTCGATGACGTCGTGTTAGCATCTGGTATCTCGATAATTGATTGTTGGATTCGTAATTTGACTTACCCGCATCCCTACAAATTCCATGGACAAAGAGTCCCAACCCGTCAATCCAACAATCCATCAAAAATAACCGAAAGGAAGGGAGCCACAAAAGAACCAGTAGCCAAACGCAAATCACTCATAGCCCACCTTCGACATTCCATTAGGAAGCAGCAACACATCGGCGTAGAGTACCTCTCCGGCTAATAGCGGGTTAGTAACACATGGGACCTGACCCTCGCTTCCTTGTCTCACCACATACCCTGTCTCATAAAATCCTTGAGGTGATGCCATTTGACGTCGTAGGACAAATTGCCGACGTAGACGCGGCGGTCCTGCTGCGAAGTTTCCCGAATGTTGTTCATGACTTGTTCACGATGAGCGGCGCGGTCCTCGAAAGTTCGATGGGGGGGTTGTCCGTTGTAACCAGTTCCTTGTCCTCCAGCAGGCGCACCTTGGCCAGTCATGGGGGTGCGGCTTCTTCTCCGATGGCGACTCCGCGAACGATCACGGGGCGAGTATGAACGGCGAGTGTTGGGGCTTCTAGAACGTCCACGTCTGGGGGAACGGGACCTCTCGCGCTTTGAGGAAGGTCGTCGTCAGCGAATGAACAAGTGTAGGTGTTGGGGAGAAGAGGAGAAAAAAAATGTGGACGTTGGAGAACAAAGGAAGAGGGGAATAAAGTGAGCTGCAAGTGACCGGGTCTGCAGGTAGTTGCGTGTTGTGACGGCCAGAAGGGTACTCGTTCCCCACTGCTAGCCCCCTAGCTTATGCGAGTCAAGGACGGAAGCTTGACCAAAGATCGCCAGGACAAGTCGATCAGACTAGACTAGTTGATCGAGGCCACAAATCGGGAAGACAAACGCGAATCCTTCGAGGCAGGGACTGGGAAAAGATTCTATATCCTCGCGGTGCTTATGAAGAAAGGGAAGGAGGGGTGCGTCACGAACGTGACGGGCAGGTGAGATGATTGTGGACGCTGACTGAAACAGACCAGCGCTGAGAAAACGAGGGTAAGCGAGTGAGCAACATGAATGGGTGCTACTTACAGGGCGATAAGTGTCTCCTGCTGCGTCGGCTGTAGAAAGAGGAACTAGGTTAGACCAAATGAATAAAAGAAGAACGATGTAAGTGGTTAAGTGGGGAGACGAGAGAAAGAAAGGTGGAGGGGGCGGAGTATGGGAATGATGTGGGAGAAATGGGTTTGACCAGTGGCAACTGGAGGGGGAAAGCAGCCCGCACAAGGAATTGAGACAGGGCGTAGGAAAGGTAGAGGGTAGGAAGTATGGGAGCTTGTGATGCGGCGGGGTGAGAATAACCTGATGATTCCAACCACTGTGGACCGGAAAGGGAAGACTTGCAGGAGGATGGGGGAGGGGCAGGCCGGGAAGGGGAGGGGTGCCAATTGTGTATATGTAGCCTGAGGACCAGGCAGGACAAGGCGACGCAAGTTAAAGGCAGAGAACGCGGGCACGTCACTGCAGCAATACTGCAGCTCCCGTCTGCGAACGGTGGGAAGGGTAACGCGAGCTTCCACTTGGCCAAGAGAACTCTCGGAGCACAACCCAACCACAACTCGCAAACCGGGCCCGCCAGGTGACTTTTGGTCAAGATCAAATGCCCTTGCGACTGAAAGCTCTCTTTGGGGGGTTCCAAAGCTGGCGTGATTTACCATCGACGCATCGCCTAGTGCTCCCGACAACGAGATTTCACACAAACGCAAGATGGGTCGGACCGGGAAGTGTGGCTATCGAGATGACTGGTGTTTCTAAACGCGACAAGCCATCCTGAGTGGTGAGGAGGGGTAGAGGGTAATCGAAGAGAGGGATGGTATGCGTTCGGGTAAGATTGCCGGGGGAGAACAAAAGGAAGTCCAACATGGAAATGAGGAGTTGTTCTCGGCCGCCACCGCCAGAGAGCTCCAAGGTGGGGATGGATTGGGTGAGACCAAGCTGTGTGAGGGAGGATATGATGTGGCAGAAGGGAAGATATGGAGAGAGCTGAGAGAGCGCACGGCAGCCAGCTGCTTCAGGACACTTTGGAGACAGTGAGAAGAAACCGGCCGCGATGCTGGCTGGCTTGGAATGGTGTCAGACTGGAACTTACCCATGACGACTGAATCTGATATGTCCTGTTCGAGGCAGGTACGGTAGGAATCGAGAAAAATTTTCGGGCAACTTAGCCGCTTGAGTAGGACGAGTTCGTCGGGAACGCGACGATTGGTGGTGTCCTGGTGTGTGGTGGTATGTTGTTCGCTACAGCAGCGCTTGAACGTTGCTGAGGTTGGGGGACAACGGGTTCAGTCTCGAGGTACACTGCGACTCTGGCGCAATGGGAGAGAAGATGGGATTTGGGCAGACGTGCGTCCGTTGGCTGTGGTGGTAGGTAGACGGTAGACGACGAGGGAGGGATTGAGTGGTGGGCTGCAAGGCCGAACGGGAATCTGCGCAGTAGGCTTCGCGCACTTTGGGGCGACGCGGTAGGTCGGTCGTGGACGAGTGTAGCCGAGGGCGATGGCTTGAACAAGGCAGGGCAGACGAAGGCGGGCTAGACAGGCAAAGAGCCCAAAAGGGTCAGGAAATTGTTCGTGACGGAAGGGTACGTCTGGCACAAGCCAAGAGAAGACAAGAGCGTCACTTGTGAATGGATGGAGGGCAATCCAAGGCCAAAGGGTACGAAGTTGGCCAGACCGTGAGGTGGTACTGGTCCCAGGTACCACAGTAGGTAGGTCCAGTCCAGCCTTCAATGCGATGGATAGGTAGGTAGCTGAGGCGACCGGGCTTCCTTCACACTCGGCACACTCTGACAAGGCGCATCGCATTCACGCCGCGTCACCTCGAGGCTCGGGTAGAGGTAGCGTAGAGGTAGAGGGTAGAGATAGTTACGTACCTGCAACTGTTGGAAGCACGCAGATTCGACCTTGACTGTGGAGGCTCCCTGAGCAAACTGTCTCGAGGAGGTGAAGATTGCGAATGGCCTTCCGGATGGAATCAAGGAGTTGAGGTCGGTCGTTGGGAAGGGCCGCAAAAGTTGTAATCGATGCTGTGACCGATTTGACTGACAGTGATGTTGTTTGTGTCTTGTGGATGCGCAGCCGGGCCAGGTGCGGTGGGATGAGTGTGAACTGTGAAGTGAAGCACGCCCCTCGGCGGCTGGCCTCGTTGCCCACTCATAATGCACGAACTTCTTGTCGGTGGACACTCTGGCTTTCACTATACAGGTACCTAGGTACAACCTGGTGCAAACTAAATGCAGTGGAGCAGTGCTGAAAGGAGTCAGACTGGACAGTGCAACAGAGGTACAGGTACATACACACGTCTAGGTCCACTTTTCACCTTCCTTGCCTGCGCTTTGCGGTGATCACCAACCCGCCAACCCCATCTCGAGCCCATCAACCTTTGATATCCTTAACGGTACAAAAAGTCGACAGAACAGCATGTTACTCTAGCGACTAGTTTTACAGGCTTTACATCTCGCTCTAATACTCCTTTCAAGCTTGCCTTTTCCAACTCTTCAACATCTAATACTTGGTGTTGATGGTGCAGGAGTGGAAGTGACATAAAGATGGATCAGGCTGAGGGCTTCATCAAGTTCTAGGTCGGTGGCTGGCCCCAATTCTGGAGGAAACGGATACGGATTCTCGAAGGCTGTTGTTCTCAGTAACGAAACTTTGACCCTTAACGAAAAGCCTCCCTGGCTCACTCAAGGGAGGGCAGTGTGTCTTTGTTACAACACCGGTCACAGCTGTGTATTTGATGGCTTGCCGTTTCGATTCAACCCAATATTGTGTTCTCTCCGGCAGCTTCGCGAGCGGTGTTCGACGTGCTGGCTGTCAAAGTTGTACCGCAAGACAGCTATCTCTTTGAATTGAATTCCTTGAGAATCGAAAAGTGTTGAGGCACCCAAGTGGAAATTCCACAGCATCTGACTTCCTACTTGCGGTTCTATTAGCTTGTTATTCGCATCGCAAGGAAGGTCCACTGGCCGAGTCAAACGTGCGATATCCCTGTTCCGCTTGTTAAAAGTCTAGAACAGGAAGGAATGTACATATTGAAACCACTCTCAGAGTCTGCTTCATTGTTGATATAAATGAAAGCGGGGTACGCAGCAACTCACATGTCTAACATCTGATCTTCGAATAACGTCCTCTTCCCTTTTCTTAAAACAATTGGTCGAGTCAATATTGTTTGAAAACGACCTCAACGTACCTGAATGGCAATCATTCTTGAATAAGAGAAGCCCACAGCACCATATGTATCTACTCGGCGCCCACCCAGTGGGGGTCGTCCACCCAGCTTCCAAGCATCGATTCCATCCGCCAAGCTACACCTTACAGTCTTCGGGTTCCCATCCGGGCCATATCCAGGCTCCGCAACTCCACCCGTCATCTGGATCCAGACACGGCCTCCGTACCGTCTGGGCTGGAGGCTTTCTAGAACTGACACCAGCATTCAGCGTCAACTTGTGGATGTTCCGCAGCTCACCCACGTTCGATAATTCTTGGCCGATGTGCTCAATCGGCCGGAGACGGCAGTGAGTAGGTATCTGGACTCAGGATGGGAATCTTGGTGGTCGATTCTTCGATCCGCTGACAGCCATCCAGAAGTGGATTGATCTATGCGAAAGCCGGCGAGATTCCTTAGACAAGCAGTCATGGTCGAATCATGAGCCCGATGCGGTTCGGCGGCTGGGTTTGGTTTCGATATCCCACCAGCCTGCCTCCCAACCCCTCCTATCTGGACAACTGCCCCTCCTTGCGGATGCTCGTGTTCCCAAGGGATTGACTCCTCCTCAGAGCTCGTCGAGCACGAGTCCTGTTTTCGAGCCGCCTGTAATACCGTAATACAACAGCGGTAGCGCGGCACACCGGAAGCGAAGCAGCCAATGGCCACCACGTCCTGCCGAACATTCTCTTCGGGGATGCCGAAGCCCTGCCCGTCATGCATATCAAAACAAGCCGGGAGAATTGGGAACGGCTGAAAGAAGACGGGACACTTGACAATATGAGCACTCGGGAGTGCCCCTCCTCGCCTACCATCTCACCAAGCGTGTACCTCTGCGGGGACTTTGACGGTTTCAGAGGGACGCACCTCGATTTCGAACAAGACTCGCTCGACATGAACGAGTTGCTTTCCGAGAGAGTCCCTTCTGTCTTCCTGTTATCCCTGCCCCCCACTCTCATCCTTGGACCAACCACTTGAAAAGTGAGACCGGTCAATGCAGGAGGGGGTCGGCTAATAAAGGCGCTATGCAAAAGATGTCACACACGGCGCGGAAACGACTTTCAGGAGGCCATGCATTGCGTAAGCCGAAGGGTCTGGCCCACGGCCTTCTTCGGGTACGGCAACGGGGACCAGGATGAGACCCGGGATGAGAATGGAGCGGCCGCGGGGCCATGTCCGAACGAAGAGATGTCCCGAATTCGGAAGAGAGTGACGGTGTCTCCGAGAAGCAAACCAGATACGAGCAACGATGCATAGGCCAAGACGAGGGTAGAGTATCCGATAGTCCATAGGGGAGTTCGATCGCGAGGAATGCCGTTCACATTTATTGATGGGACTTTCCAGGCACTAAAGAGTCCTGGAGGAAGAGAGGGCCGATCGGTGTCCTGCGAGCACACCCATCCCACCCATGGACAGGCTGACCTTCAGGATGGATAAGTATCTGTCTGATGAGCTATGGCATGTCCGTGGCATGCCAATGGATATACTCGGCAAGGCATTCCGGACGCTTTTGTTGCAGGAAGAAATTGAATCAGCAACCAATGATGCCCCAGCTCTGGTGCGGATTATCGAATAGTTCGAGGACAGGCATCCACCAATAGTTCAAGCGTATTCCCGATTGCTTCTGTTGCAGCAACCGAGGGCACGTTCAGTTCTCCATTGTTTCTCATATCCTAGTCACAGCTCCTTGCTGCATTTTGGAACCTCCCACACACGAGACCTCGATGGCGCCTTTCGGTCCGGCTAACGTTGACGTTTGGTGCTAGATTCCACTGAATGGTCGACTTGTAGCCCGGAGGAACTCCTAGTGGCTATGATTTGCTTTGGTCTGATGGCAGTGTGCTGTGTAAACAGTAAAGGGAAACATACCTACCCAGCAGGTACCGTACCCTATCGACCATGGGGAGGATTGCTTCGAGCTATCGTGTCTGGAAGCCGCTCCAATCACTGTCATAAACTGGTGATACAGCAGCAAAGTTCATTCCCCTAACAATCGACCTCCAGGTTGTGCTTACCACACCGGGCAACCACCAAATTATGGACCGATAGTGTCGTCAGTACCGGCGCAGGACGTCGGAAGTGACTGCCCTTGCTTGTGAAAGCTCGTCTTGGCAGGAACCAGGGGATCTTTAATATGGAGATAGAAATGGAGACGGTGATGAAGTGGGGCCGCAAGCAGCACGTGAGGATAAGGTTATCGCAATTCAAGATCCCACGTCCCGGCCGGCAATGGAATGGAAGCTCCCGGTCTCATTCCCACTTCGGCATTGAAGTCGTGATAGTTCACGACAATTACTCCAAACAAGTTACGGTCCGTTACCTCGAGGGTTGACGAACTACCGACCTTCAAGATGCGCCCATCACCGACACCACTCCGTCGCGCCGCCCGGCAAATTCTCTCCTCTTCCTTCACGACGATCCGGGCCGCGGCACCCGCCCATCGTTCCCTCAGCTCCATTACCACCACCAGCACCGGCTCCGACTGCACATGCGGGAACGGCAGGACCACCGCTAGACGCCCTCAAATACAATCCAACCAAAATCCCCAACAACAACAACAACAAAGGAGCTCCTACCACTCCTACGACCACCCTTCCCCTCCCGCCTCTTTCACACCCGTCGAGGAATCCATTCTCAGCGCCGCTTACCTTCACGTCCCAGCGCACGGCTTCACATCCTCCGCGCTGGTTGCCGGTGCCCGCGACGCCGGATACCTGGACATCAGCCCGACGATCCTGCCTGAGGGCGCCTTCACTTTGATCCGGTATCACCTGGTCAAGCAGCGGGAGGGTTTGGCGGCGCGGGCTCGGGAAGTGTTTGGCGGCGAGGGACATGTGGGGGCTTACAAGCTCGGCGGGCTGTCGGAAGGGGAGATCAAGGGAAGAGTAGAGGCGTTGATGTGGAAGGCTTCTAGGGAACAGGGAGGTTATTGGACGGTGGCAGGAGGTTAGTTTTTTTCCTTTCCATACCCATTCGCGACCCATGTTCGCTTTTCCCAAAAGGCACTTGCATTAACTGATGACGTAACACTCTTCTAGGCTCTAGCAATCATGGCGCAACCATCCTACGTCCCTCCCTCGCTCAAGGAGCTCGCCCTGCTGTCGGACGAGATCCTCTTCCTCGCCGGCGACTCCTCTGTCGACCCATCGTGGTACACCAAGCGTGTCTCGCTCTCGACCATTTACGCCGCCGCCGAGCTGTTCATGACCAATGATCACTCCCCCGAGTTTATGGATACCCGCGCTTTCTTGAACCGCAGGCTCAGGGAGGTGAACGAGGTCGGTGGCGTGTTTAGGAACATGAGGGAGTGGGTTGGGTTCACGGCTACGGCGGGCGTCAATGTGCTCCGGAGCAAGGGTGTTAGGATATAGAGTATCTAGGACGCATAGAGACGGCGGCGGCGGATAGACGATCGGGTTTGAAGAACCTGACGAGTACACATTAGTGAACTTTAGCGATGACTGCCTCCGAAGAAGGGCCGTTTGGGTTTATCGCTCGCAAAGTTAAGCCATACGAAACTGACGGATGCGGGAGAAGGAAAAGATCAATACTTGTAGAACTTTCCGCCCTCATTGACTTAGACGGCTTGTAAGAAGTTTGTAAGATGACGTCGTAGGTAACGATTTTAAAATATTTACACATTCTAAACACATGGCCAAAGTTACAAATATCTTATATAATGCGCTCCTGCATGTCTGCCACAGACAAATAAGAAGAAGAAAGTACGCCATGAAAACACCAAACGCGAAACACGCAATGACATCCCAACCAGTCCATACAAGACGCCATTTTCTCCTCTTGGCGCCCTTTTCACGCTTGCCTATACTTTTGACAGAACTTGTTCAAATATACACCATGGAGAGATCAAGACCCGAGAATAAGAAACAAAGACTAAGGTAAAAACTACCGTGCATGCGCTGCCGCCTGGAGCAGGGACCGTTGCTCAGGGCGGGCTGCTTCGCCAATGGCATCAAGACCGACGCCCACCTGGAAGCCATAAGGGCTTCCCATAGCTGCGCCATTTGCACCCGTAACATTATTACTGTTTTAGTGGTCGGCCAAGGTCCTCTGCCGTGGGTCCGTAAGTCTAGAGAGTCATTGTTAGCTCACAGATGATGGCCAAGAAGAGGGGATACGTACCGAATAATCTTGACGTCCTTGTCGAGGGTGTTCCGTCCCTCGATGGCATTCGGCGTGATAAAGATGTACTGCCGATTTACGGATCGACGAGCGGCAGTAATCTGTGTCCGTATTAGCAATTGATCACGAGTATACCGTTATTGCTCTCAATGTACTTACAAGCATGTTTGTGCTGATCGCACGGTTGACATTGTCCATGAACACGTCGAACTCGTCCAAGCATCTGAGCGGGCTACCCATGGCCTCCCAGATACTCAGCAGCAGGCAGATCGACGAGAAAGACTTCTCGCCGCCAGATAGTGTCTTTGTGTTTCTGCCGGCTGCCCGCTTCTCCGTCTTGTCGGGCTCGACGACCAGATCCAGTGCCTTTTTCGCGTGGTCCAGCAGCAACTTGCCTCTGAAGCCGCGCTCGCTGAGGAGATAGATGAAGTTCGCTCGGCTTTGCGACGAGATGTATCGCTGGAACTTGCGCCACTTCTCGAGACGGAGGGTCAGCGTCCGACGAATACCAGAGTTGAGCGTCTTGGAGCTTTCGAGGGTTTTCTTGGCTTCGTCATAAGTCTCCTTCGCCCTTGCAAGGTTCGCCAGAACTTCCTCATCGCTCATGCCTCTGCTGCGTCGCTCTTTCTCCAGTTGTTCCTGAATTTTCTCGTACTGCTTTTCCAGGTGCTCGTACTTGACGGTTGGGTCAACGTGGACCCGGTCTTCACACTCCAATAGTTCAACGACTTGTTTTGTGATACTGACGACTGCTGCGACAGCTGTCTCACGTTCGGTCTCAAGGAGCTTCCTTTCCTCTTTGAATAAATCAAAGGAGGAATGAGCTTCATTGAGCTCTGTGAGGTTGATCTTCCGCACTTCTTCCAGCTGGGTCTTCCTTGCCTGCAGTTTGTTTGCCTCCTTTTCACGTTTCTCGAATTCGGTCTTGATTTCGGTGAGTTGACCCTGGGCTTCCAATGATAGGCGGTTCTTCTCGTCCTTCCTTAATCGAAGGTTGCCGTACTGAAGCCCACAAGCCTCCAGCTTCTCTTTGGCCTCAGCCAATTCAGCCTTCAAGCCTCTGAGGTGATTATCGCCGCCTTCATATGTATCAAGTTCATACTGCACTTGTTCAACTTGAACCCTAGCTTGCCGTAGTTTGCTATCGAAGGCTTTTTTGTCCCTCTGGATCTTGGTGAGTTCGCTCGTGATCTTCTGAACTTCTTGTTGCAGCCGGCGATGTTCACGGTCAAGCACGCTGTACTCTTGCTCCAGGTGTCGCAGAGTCTCCTTTTGGTACGCAACCCGCGAGCCGACATCTGCCTTCATCCGTGGGAGGCGGTTACGTTGGGGTTGCACAGGAGAGGTCGAGAAGCCTCCGCTGCCGTTGACAACCAGTCGGAGTCCTTCGTCCCTCTTTCGATCATGGAAACTGAGGCAGGCTTTGACGTTTCGGGGTCGTGCACCACTGAACATGACATCCTCGGCTTTGGTACGCTCCGGTATCAAGATGACCTGTTCAATCATTTGATTGATGATCAACTGATCGCGTACCAACATGTTGTCGATTTTCAACACCCGGAGAATAGTGTCAAAAGAAGGGTCGGGTTCTTTACCATCTGTGTTGAGTGGATGGCGGTTACCGATTAGTACCGGACACCCCCTGATGTCGAGTCTGTTCATGAAGCTCTGAAGCAATTTCTGTTCGGCCATGCTCTGGACAATGAATGCATTGAGGATGTTTCCAAACGTCTTTTCCAGGATCGAAGACCACTCCGGCTTCAGGAGCTGGACATAAGCGCCGAGCGGCCCCACTGGCTTGTTCTGAAACCGGGTCTCTCTCTCAATCATCTGTAGCAGTTCAGGAACTTTGCGCTCATAACCTGCATAGATAGAGCCTTGATCCCTCTCCGAGGTCCGTAACGCTTGTTCCGCTACGGTAATTTCATCCCGCTTGTTAGAGCATTCAACGGCTTTGGCGTCCCGGGCTTTTTTGGTTTCGTCCACTTGGTTTAGCAGCTCTTTCTCTCGCTCCTTGGCGTTGGAGATATCGTTCTCAATATTTGTGACGTGCCCCTTGGCCTGCTCAAGCTCCCGGTTTTTGGAAAGAATTGCCTCTCCCGTGGCTTCCTCAAGGCGTCTTTCTTCGGCCGCAACCTTTTCTTCGAAGTCCTTTACTGCCGTGGTTGCGCTTCTCAAGTTTTGGTGGGCTGCCCGTTCGTCTGCTTGGATTTGTGCCAGCTCATCCCTGATTGCTTGAGCTTTCGTCCTTTTCTCGTCCACCTGATCTTGAAGTTCGTTTTTTCGCTGGATAGCCTCCTCCAGTCTCTGCTCAAACTCCCGAATCTTTTCGTCAACGCCATCGACTTGAACTTGCTTTTCATTTCTCGCACGGTCTGCTTTAGCGATGTTATTCTCAACGTCGACAATCTTCTCATTCGCGTTTGTCAAGGCGGCCTCTTTTTCGGCTACTTGGAGCCAACACATCTGGCCCCGAAGCTGAGTCATCTTGGCTCTCAGCTTTCGATTTCCGTCAATAGCGTCCTTGAAACTCTTTGCTCGTTTAAGGTCCTCTGCTGCTGCTTTGACGCGCTCCTCGTGGTCAGGAACTTTGGATTCCAATGTCTCCAGATTCTCGGCGAGTATTCTGTAGTCAGTGTCCAGTTGCTGCAGCTGTACACCTTCGATGAAGAACTTGTACTTTTGTTGCTTGGTAGACGAGTTGAGGAATTGACGGGCATTATCTTGAGAAAGCACGTTCAAGGGGTTGTCCACCTGCAGGGCGTAGTACTCGACGATCTCCTCGACCTCCGACTTTTTGTTAGATACGATCTGGCCAGTGGCCGTCTTGACCTTGAAGCTGCTGCTGCCGGACTTGGAGAAGTGACGTTCGACACTGATGGAATCGCCGTAAACGTCATGCCTGTATGCATCTTGGCCTTCGTTCTTGATTTTGACAATCAAAACAGACTTTTCGGTGCCCTCCTTGACGAAGCTCTTGAGACTTCCTCCGCGATTGGTTGAGCTGGCCTTGCCGCCGAGACAAAGAGTGATGGCGGTTAAGATGGCGCTCTTTCCACTTCCGTTTTCACCCACGATGAAATTGAGAAGCGGGCCGAGTTCACAGTGTAGCCGTGTGTGACACATGAAGTTGATGCATGTGATGCTTTGCAAGATGCCGTTATCGGCCACCACGTTGTCTCCCAACCTAGTAGGTTTGAAGCGTAGTCTCTGGGTGGCTCGCTGGTCATCGACATCCTGGTATTGCAGGTGCTCAAAGTTGTTGTCGCGCATCAACTCGTACTGGGTTTTGGGGGGCGAGTCCGGTGATGCTGGACCTCGTCCATCGTCGCCATCAGCGTCGTCGTCATCAGCTGGAGTGGCATGGCGAGCGGTGGCCACACGGGCTTTCTTGGCCTGGTTGGCACTGCGGCGCTGTGTAGCATGTTAGCAGGCGGTTTTTGGGTCTCAGGTGTCGTTGTAAGGCTTACTGAAGCAATTTCTTCTTCGCTGTCATCGCTCGTGGGTGCCGGCCGTTGACGTTTTCGCGAGGACTCGGCGCTGCCCTCGCCGTCGAGTAGTGTTCGTGCTGACATGGTGGAAGCGCTGAATGGCTGTGCCTAGCCGCGCATACGTAGGATTTTGGGTAAGAACCAGAGAGAGTGGGAGGAGAAAGAACCCAAGATGGAAGAAGATCGTTTCGAGAGGAATGGTAATAACGATCAATGTTGGATCACTTAAAAAAAAAGGAAAAAAAGAAAACAGCGATACCGAGGAGCACTGAGCGTTGCCCTCCGTCTCTATTTGAACCTGGCTTTTGAGTGTGTCCTTCGCTCAACTCCAAATCCCCATGTGCCATCGACAGGCAAGTCGAAGCACGAGCAGTGTGTGTGCCGGGAAGGTGGAAGTGGAAACGCGTCTCAACGCGGGAGAGTCTGCAACACACAGGCGGTCGCCCCACTTAGCGCCTGTGATTCGGAGTTCCTTTAGCGGGCTTCTGCGCTAAAGGTACAGAGGCGCGTGAGACGTTTGAGCGAAGTCACGGGATCACGCACCAGGTTGGTGGGGGATGGCAGAGTGAGTTGGGGAACTTGCGGGGGGTACCTGAGCAGAGGAGTTGGGGTAGCTCCGCGCGTTGAAATAGGTCAGGTATGTACTGTACATGGTACCTGCCTTACCCCTACCTGTCCCACTTACTAGTGTAGGTACCGGGCTAAAGCTGTACAAAAAAGTCAAATGCCTTCCACTTACGTTGACACCATTTCGTTATCAACCAACACGGACCTGCTCAGCATCTTAGGAAAGAGGTTAACTGCCGAAGTAACTGACAATTTTCGAATGTAAAGGTCAGCTCATCGGCTGGACTACGATTGTGTTAGTTATTCTTCAATTATCACAAACAATCAACGGCTAGTGACCGGAGGCCATAACTTTTAGAGCAGTGAACAGACACCCGTTCACCTTGGCACTAGAAGACTCCAAGGTTGAGAAGCAGGAGAAACTCCAAGAAACCTGGGAAGAGGGAACTAGACAATTAAAAGAAGCCGAAACACGACTGAAAACAAAGATGGATGAGTCTACAAACGAGCCAAGGCCGGGAGACGACGCCTTCAATGGCTTTCAAATGAGCCTTCCAGAGAACTGCGTTGAATACATGCTCTTCGTCATCGACGGTCAACCTGAAGCCCAACGAACCACACTCTCGAGCCTGGAAACCATCAGGAAAGTGGCCCTCCAAAGACTTGATGAGCTCACCAAAGACTACATATGGCAACGTGAGCCTTTGAAGCTTGAAACGAAGATCGAGAATGGTATGTCTTGCTTTGCTATCACACCTTTCAGTCACACCCTACCACCCCGGAACTCATACTAACGAAACAGTCAACTATAGGGTTGGTTTACCTTCATGGCCATACTGACTACGGTGACAATGTGGAAGACGAATGGTTAATAGTCTACTTCCTTCGTACATTGAGCCTTTCCTTCCCCAACCTATGGATCCGCATCTTCGACAGCGACGGCGAATTCCTCCTCATCGAAGCCGCCAAAGTTCTTCCCAAATGGCTGAGCCCCGAGATGGACGCCAACCGCGTATGGATCAACTCGGGCCAACTGTGCATCATCCCCCTTCTTCCCTCTTCCTCCTCCTCCTCTTCCAAAACCCAGCAACTCTCCCTCCACGAAGCCCTCTCAGTCATCCGAACCAACCCAACAATCCTCACCCACTCCCCCTTCATTGAAGCTGAAGCCTTCTACCGCCTCGAAAAGTACCCCGGACAAATCAACTCTTCCCTTCACCACGCTCTCGTCAGCATCCCTCGCAAACTAGCCTACATCCTCCACGAACGCCCCAAGGCCGTCGCCCCCGCCACCGAAGCTTTCTACCTCCGCGATCCCGTCAGTCTGAAACCGCTCCTCGCCACTACTTCAGAGAACCTACTATTCCCACCAACGGACCTTGTGACTATCAGCGTCCGTCTGACCAAGGTCCTCTACGCCCAGCTCAAATCGCAGCACTTTGATCCGCCGCCGGTATGGAGGGACCACTTCAAAATCCGGAGCGCGGAGCTTGAAGAGCTATCGCTGTCTGAATCAGAGGAGGGCAGGCAGGCCTTGCAAAGGTTGCAAACGCTCGCCAGGTTGGAATTGGGTATGAAGCTCACCACGGGCTTTGAGATCCTTGCTCGCGGCGCTGAGAAGAGCGATAGTCGCGTGGCGAGGGAGGTGGCGCTACTGCTTGAGGACCTGGCGGAGGACGGGGAGGAGAATGCGCTACCGAGCGATGAGGAGATTAAGAGGTGGAAGGATGTGGATAGGGAAGATGATGATGGGTGGATGGATATTGATTTTGCGGATTTCGAGAGGGAGTTGGCTGGACAAACCGAGCAGCAGCAGCAACAGCAGAAGGGTAGTACGGAGGGGACCGCTGGTGAAATGCCGACGTTCGGAGATGCCACGACACAAGCCGATCTGCGCAAGATCGTCTCCCGATTTGAGGCGTTCCTGAACGACGAAACAGCAGGTCTGGATGGGGCTGAGATTGATGAGATGGACCAGGATGATGACGATGAAGATGAGGACTCGGATATGGATACCGACGACAGCGAAGACGAAGACAAGGAAGTGAGTTTCGACGAAGAGCAGTTCTCAAGAATGATGAGGGAGATGATGGGGATACCGACGACGACAGGGTCCGAGACCACCGCCTCTCAGAAGCCTGACATGAAACCCAAAAACAAAGGCAAGGAGAAGGCTTCTTCTTCTTCTGACGATGAGGACGAGGACGAGGAAAGCATGGGCAAGGACGAACAAGAAGAACTGGAAGCTCTCATGGCTCAGATGCAAAAGGAACTCAACTGGTACGGCGCACTACAGCTGGACCCTCAAAAGCCCAAGACCTCAAAGACCTCTACGAGAGCGTTAAAGGGTGAGGTTCAAGGAGGATCGTCAAAGGGCGAAACCCAAGAAGTAGTAGCCAAGACCACGGCGGTGGATGGTGAGAGTGACGATGAGGAGGAGGATGATGGAGAGGAAGAAGGAGAAGGTGATGATGTCGACCTGGACTATAATCTGGCCAAGAACCTGTTGGAGAGCTTCAAGAGCCAAGCGGGTATGGCTGGTCCAGCGGGCAACTTGCTCGGATTGATGGGCATGACGTTACCCCGTGATGAAGAGGATTCCGATGGGGAGGGCAAGCCTCGCTAGAGGGCAAATGGTATTTGTGAGTGTGTGAGATTATATATTCAGATGGTGATCTTGACGAGTAATCTTGAATAATCTCAACAACGAATGGCCTTCTTGAAAACATTGGTACGTACTAGCGAAAAGAATAAAGCATCGGTAGGCGGAAAGTGACAACGCTCCCACTTAAGAGTACTTCAAATAAATAACCGCTATTGCCCGTGGCTGCATGATGGGACCGGAAGTGGCTATCTGTATCTATATCCAAAAAGGAGAGACAAGGTGACCTTCTAGGTACACAAAGACTAAGACACAGTCCACTTAATCGCCTTATCTTTCCCAGCCAGCCAACCAAATGGCAGACAAGATAAAATCACCAACAACCTCGGTCCAGCGTCCCTCATATCAACATTCATTTTCAGGTCCCGATCATGCCCAACACCCCACAAAACACCTGGCGAGTCGGTCGCCGTCTTTCCTTAGTGATATCCTACCCAGGCGTGTCGACCAGTCAACCGCAAATCGGCCTTTTCCTTGGAATAGAAAATGATTCCTGGCGACCAATCGATTGTATACACTTTCCTTCTCGGTTTCTTCACATAACAAACAGGAGATTCGTATCTTTAAATTTGCATCACCAAAGTTAGTCAGCTTGTTCTTCTTATATTGGATCGGTTTGTTCGTCATCATTGTGCGTGTTTTGTGTGTCCATTAAAATGTCTAACTTTTCCAAACAACCGCGCAAAAACGACGGTCCACGCAACGCAATGCAGGTAAAAGAAACCCAAACAGACACTTCTCCTCGAGTTTCCTTTTAAGGGTATATATGCAGCTCAAATCTTAAACGTGGTAACCAGATAACGACTTGATGTGGGGTTGTAGAATGATGACGAGGAATGTGAAGAGGAGGAAGCCTCACCAAGAGGGTGGCTACACGACAGCTGAGGCTTCTGTGTGTAACGCGTTTGCAGTTCGTCTCGAATGGTGTTGAGCAGCTGGACATAGCTCTGCTGGGGATTCTTCTTGAGGGCGTTGATAAAGGCCCAAGACATGGCCCCTGTGGCTTGTGAAGCAATTGTGGCGTCGGCTCTGTGAAGAAGTCATCGAAGTTAGCAAGTAAATCTTGACAGGTTGACGGAACATAACGGCTGGGGAAGAAAATGAGGGGCAGGCATAGGGGTGATCCAACGTGACCTATCGCCCTAGACGCAAAGTCACTGACCACGGTGATGATCGTACTTTGCATCTAGAGCGTAGGTTGAAGGTATGTACAAGAAGTATCCCGAGTAATGCCTTTGATGTGCCCACTCGTTGGCATCAACCTGAATCCCAAACGCCAGAGAACCTTTTGCTCCAAAACTTCCGACGCTTGTGCTATAGGAGAAAGAGAAAAAAAAGTGTGCTTCAAGAACAAGGAACCATAATGGAGGGGTATACGAACGAGGTCTGATCATCCTTGCTTCCGGAAAACATAATAACATCGGCAGGTGATGTCTTGGTTGCCAGTGCTCTTGCATGGGCATCTCCACCGTTGGCGGCCTTCTTGAAAATTCCCATGATGTTGTTCGCCACGCCATAGAGATCGCCTTGGCTGTAGGATGAGATAGCACCAAGAAGCCCTTGGCCAGCTTCCTTGGCCAGGTTGGGCTCCTTGAGAATGCCCTGGGTTGAGTAGATGTAGGGCAAATCGAGCGCAGTTCCCGAGTGGCATGAGTCGAAGATAGCGGTCAGCCGAACGCCTGCTTGTAACGGTCGGACCATGATGCGGTGCATTTCGTCGTCGGTGATGTGTCCCACTTGTCGGAAGTCAACTGGATATATAACTTCGTCATACCCGTCCTCCTCGTCGCCGTCGAGATCTTTCGTTTGGCCTCCGTGTCCTAGCGAAATCCGAGCGTCAGAAGTAGGTCTTCCGGCGTTAGTAGGGAGAGAATAGTGAGTACTTACCGGAGTAGTGGAAAAATAATGAGTCGTTGGGCCTAGCATCCTTGACCAACCAGTGCATCGCTCTAAGGATGTTCTGCTTGGTAGGTTGACTCATGGGATTTTGCTGGTCGTCGGTAAGAATAACCATATCCTCACGTTTGTAACCAAAATGTTCGACCAGATATGAAGACATGTTCCTGACGTCGTTGATACATCCTCTCAGCTGACCACGCTGACCGAAGTAGTTGATGCCGATGAGCAAGGCTTTGTGTCGACCATTACATTGCGAATATCGAAAAGCGTATTCCGCTGGGGCGCCATATCCGAATTGCTGAGGCGCTTGAGGAGGGGGCGGAGGAGCTTGGTGGTTCCCGTGCGCGTACGAATTCGAATTCACCGTTGGCATACTCGCCTCTGAACAGATAGTTAGAGGCCACACTCCAGTCTGGGAAGCCAATGTAGCTATCACTCACCAGGTCTGCCGTAATGGGAGCTGGTAGGATTGCCATATCCTTGTGGTGCGGGCGTCTACTTGCGGCTTATATTTTAGTATTCCTCTGCTTGGATGTAGGATGCGGCAATGAGCTTGAACGGACCTGCTGCTGTGGACTCCAGTACTGTTGTTGCTGGGGACCGGGCGAGGGCTGGTGATAACCCATGTACTGTTGTTGTTGAGGAGGCGGCTGCTGATAAGCATCGTATGCGGGTTGGCTGCAAAAGTTAGAACCGCAGTTTCAGAAAGCAAGGCTACGAGTGTAGTTGTATGAACATACGGAGGGTAGTAGCCGCCATATTGTGGTTGAGACGGGGGATTGTAGCCGCCTCCATTGTAACCCGCGCCGGGGTAGCCAGACATGATCGTGGACCGATATAAAAACGAACAGACTTTCGAGGATTAGGTCAGGTACGAGTGGTGCAGGATCGAGGCGGCTCGGCGAAAAGGTTCGTCGTGGCTTTCGTGGATAGGACCCGGAGGTTGAGGTCTTGGTGCGGACTTGTCGGAGGGCGCGGTTGAAGCTGAGATCAGACAGGCGGGAAGAATGGAGTGTCTGCCGTTGTCGAGATGGGACTAAATATAGGGTGGGGAGTCAAGGGAGAGCGGCGTTGATGAAGTGAGGTCGGTATATATGATGGAGAAGGGAAGCAGGCGCGTCTAGATTCTTGAAGACGGGCACAGGGTCAGCAATGGGAGCATGGATTGAGACCCGATTTGGAACAGACAGACAGCCGAGTTGGGGAAGAAGCACGGGATGGGGCAAGTCGAGAACACCACCACAACTGGAACCAGTGAATGTTCCGCCGACAGTTACAGAGGACGGTCTGAGGGTGCAGGACACGTACCCGAGAGAGCGGTCAAAAGGCCGATTTGGGGACAACCCACATGCAGGGAGTCGAAGAGGCTTGGTGAAGTCTGGGTCGCAAGGGCCGGGGTCTTCGACTACCCAAGGTATGGTGTAGGTAATGTAGCAGGAAAAGGTGGAAAAGGTGACGGCGCCGGGCGGTTCGTTACGATGTTTCAAGGTCACAAGCAAATGGGTTGGCAGCGTGGATTGTTATTGTGTCAAGGTAGGCAGAGCGGCAGGCGGGACTTGCTCCAGGGAGAGTGCGTTGAATCTCCACTCAAAGAGCCAGAGCAGGTCCACCACATGGATGATGAGCGAAGCCGAGCATTCGTTGTCGGGTCTGGCTTCTGCCCGTGTGTAACTGGAAGTACCTCACTATCTTTCTTTGGCGCCCAAGCTCACCCTGTGACCGCACCAGCAACCACGGCTGATGATAGAAGAGATACATCAGCGGCGCAACACTCCAAGTCATGATTGGACGAATCTCAAGCTCTGATGAGACGATCACCAGGCGGGGCAGGACAGCACGACGAAAGGAAAAGCTTCCCTTGGCTGAGATCAACGCCAAGCAACGTGGAGTGCGGATCCCGAAATTGGGAAGAAGCGACCGAATCCTTGAAAGTTGAGACGAGCAGTGACGGAGATGGAAGCTACTGTAGAGAGTAGAGTAGGTACACGTGTAGCGAGACCGACAACTGTGACACTTGCCGCGACACCACAACATCATGGAAGCCGTGATAGAAGGAACTGCGCGCCAATATCAAAGAGCCCTAAACCAGCAAATGTTCCATCCCTTCTTCGTCCATCCAATTCCTTCATGTCAGTTCTGAATCTAAAATCCTAGAAGTATACCTCTACCTACGGTAGGTATGCGGTATATACACCTGTAGGTACACTGCTTAGCTGCCCCTGCCTGTATGTAGAGGCATGCATGCCATTCAGTAACGCAACGGCATTGCATCGAACAACAGACAAGACACATTACCATGGAGGCGCAAGAGACGAACAGTTGCAATCAACCGAGTGCAATGGTGATAGGCCAAATATCGAACGATCAAAGTCGCTAGTCTTGTCGGCAGGTCGTCATATGCCATCGGCAAGTCCTTTACCATTTTGACGGTTGGATATCACAACGGCTATTCAGCTCTGCCAGCTTGCAATACAGCCCACTGGCCCTCAGTGCAAGCCTCTGCTTGCTGCCGCTGCCCTCTGGTGGAATAAAACAGACGCTCGGGGGTCTAGCCCACTTGAGAGTCCTGCTCCGAGCTGTCGTAGCTGGGCGTATCGTAGCCAGCAATTTCCCTACCGGACAGCACAACCCCCAAAATGCCAGATGGAAAAAGGAATGAAGCTAATATCGCAGACGCAGGGCCAACAGTTGAAGCTCTTATCGCTCATTCATGGGCACTCGGACGGAGAGAGTTTGAAGAGGATAGGAGATGGCTTGTTGAAGAGACTCTACTGTGTAGTTGTCCTGACAGGTCCTCATCGACATTCAGCCACCTCGCAAGCCGAGGATCTATCTTCCAACTCGCAAGCCGCACAATTCGTCGTGAACAATCAAGGGTCCAGGTTACCTCCGCTGGGTCATTGTGGCTTGTTCCCGAAGGCGTTCTTGCCACGATCCCCGGCCCGGCAGTCTCAGAGACAGAGACCTGTGTGTCCCCGTACGAAATTCGACTTTCGCTTTCAGAGATCGGAGACGAGCGAGGCCATTCACTTTCAGTTCCGGTGATTGGGTCTCCCCCGTTGCAGAAAGTCTCTTACTGGTCTCCAATATCTCCAGTATCAAAATGCATGCAACCGAGAGAAGCTAGCTTCGGATCTGAGCGACAGCATTGGATTGGTCAAATTGCCGTAGATGCGGTTGCGGCGCTGCTGAACCGAATGGAACTCCTCTTTCCAGACAGGGGACCGCCAGGTGGAAATCCCAATTCCCACCACATCAATCACAGGCTGGTCCGATCCAAAAGACCTCGAGGCTCAACACCACAGTCGAAATATCCAGATGTGACACTTCCATATCAAACTGCTGGCGCTTTTCAGTGCCAGGCCACGGGGATATCTGGCCCAAGGCCTCGGACGCTGCACCCCAAATCCTAGAACTACCATATGCGGTCCAACGTTTCCCTATCGAGGACATCCCCATCCCTGCCCGCGACCAATCTGTACGACATTCCACGCATTTACATCCGCATTGATGATTCAACACACATTTTCGAACTCAGCCAGTATACGTGGGCCAACAGAGGACAGGCCGAAGAAGCATGGCCACAAACGATGTGCTGCATCTGCCAGAGCAGACGCCCGCAGGACCGCTCGCTTGAACAACCTCTCAGCCTTTTTGTGGTGGTCTTAGTCTTCAACCATGCTGTGCTCCCATCGCCGAGTACAGTGGTATGAGGCTGTAAGCAAATTTATTCCGGGCAAGTTTCAAAAACTTGAACCTCAACTGCAAAAGCAGCAGCAGCAGCGCCCTGTATCACCATGCCTTTCTGGCCTGGGACATACTTGACACTGACACGCTGTACCTCCATGGGATGGCAGGTGGGCTATGTTCTCTCAAGCCGAATTCCATGCTCGTCATCGCCGTTAATCAGTCGGTCGGTCGGTGAGGCTCAAGGTTCCGTGGGATCTGCGTACCCTGTGTCACTCACAAGCTTTCCAAGGTATTACGTACAACATCATCAACATTGTGTTCCAAAGCTCGCTTGCTAGTTGCTACTGAGTGCTTGGTTCCTGAAAACAGGTAGTGTCCACCCCGATACTTGTTTTTTTTATTAGCTCGGTACACACTCCTAGTATGGTGGACGAATTCTATCCCGAATTTTCCCAAAGCTCTTAAGGGCACAATGAAATGGCTAGGTACGGATTGGACAGGCATTAGCAGTATTCATTATAGCATATTGAAACTGCGAAAATGCATATCCAAGGTACGATTACGCCTTGGTCATGTAACAAAACGCATCAGTTAGATATATAAACATATAAGAAGGCTAACTAGACGTCTCGAGCTAACAAACATGGAAACCAGTGTCGGACTGTACATCAACATCAACATTAACATCAACATCAACATTAACATCAACATCAACATTAACATCAACATCAACATCGGGGATCAACGTGGCCAGGTTTGATATCGGCCCGCAATTTTTTACCTCCACTTTCCCACCCCATACTTCCAACTCTCCATGGGTACGGTCCCTTGAGGTTCCTTCAATGGGATCACCAACTACCAACAAAAATGCTGCCCCTCGCTCAACGGGGGCTATGCTAGCTACCTATAATCCCACGATACATAACGTCGGGGTCGGGTAGATCCCGTAGTGCGTGCGACATATATCAGATGTCACGATGTTTTGATATAAGTACCGACCAAAAATGTCAGCGTCGAGATGGGGGGACATAGTGCACATGTCAAGATTTACTTGGACTTTCTTTCGCTTTGGCTTTTCGGAGGTCGACCCGGACGATTCTCACTTCCAGATCTCAAGCCAGTCAAGTCATGTTGCTCAGCAGCTCAGGAGGAAGAATACTTACGCACTTGTGCTGAATCCAATGTCCCAACTCCCTAGCTTGAGCCTCAACTCAACTTCCCCTTGCGAGGTTAAGCAGCTTATCTGCCAGCTAACCTATCCTTCACAATAATCCAAAAAGTCAGGCAATTGATTGATCGTTCCCAAAACTTCCTGATGCTACAGAGTACAGACCGCGTGTCTCCAGAACCCCAAAAGCCTCTTGGCAAGGAACCCCATACGATCCTCAACAGCCGCAGATCGGACCCTTGCTCGTGCCAAGCCCAAAAATGGATCAGTCAGACAGAGAATCGAGATTCGAAGAGACAAAAAAAAAAAAAGTCTGACAAGAACGCCCCAAGGGGCGGAAATTGAAAAAGATAATGTCCCCTCGACCGGAATCGAGCCGGTGACCTTTCGGTATACAATCTAGACAATTACAGCCGAACGTGATAGCCAACTACACCACAAGGGGATTTTTCTGTTTGTTGAGAAACATTTCGGAGTTTTGAAATTATATACGCTTGACATTACACTAGGTAAATCGCATGTTGTCAGTCAATCAACACCTGGACAGGATGCACAAGGATGAGCGACAAGAAGTCTGGTGTTGCTGGTTAGCCAGGTCGGATATCGGTTTCTACGATATCTGTGTGGTTTATACATTAACTTCCTGTATGCTCATGAATTGTGCACGGTTCTATTCATCACCATGGACCCCGGTGCCTGCTTGACGCAAAGTGCTTTAGTCACAACTCAAGATGTTGATAAGGAATGCGAATTGACTTGTACAACCACACCAGACGATAGTAGCTCTGGTTCAGTGAATGGCCTTTGCCTCCCAAGCTGTTCTCAATTGGTTGAGCGCGCTCAGTGCAAATCATAGTTATACGGGAGTCAATGGCATGCTTGAAATAGGTCATCATTAAATATTGCATTCCCTCGTCGATTAACAAAGCGGACCGAATCCAAAAAGCCGAAGGGAAAGAGGGTAGAGAAGAAAGGGAAATGCACACTATTGGTACATACGCCAAACTTCTCAGTCTATGCATTCACCCCAGTCTATGCATTTTCCATTTTCACGTCGACGCTCTCCTGATTGGCCTCCTCCTTCGCCTCTGGCTTGGACTCGTCCTTGCCTTGCTTGACAGCCTCCTGGCTCGCCCCAGCAGCATTTGCTTCGTTTTCACTCTTCGTGTCCTTCTTTTCCGCTTGGCTCTGAGCCACCTCGTCTTTCTCATCCTCGTTCTTGGGCACGGCCCTCATCAGCCAATTCATCATGCACCAGACGAGCTTCATGGCCTCCACTCTGTCCTCGGGCTTGAAGAAATCAAACCACTTGCTTCTCCTCACCTCCAGCTTGCCCCAGCTTCGCTTCCCGTTCTCAAACTCGTGCTCGGCGCGACCCTCCAGAACAGCCATTAGCTGATCCGGCACCCGCACTCTTACAATGCTGATGTGGTGATACAGGCAGCTGACCACAAAGACATCATCATAGTCTGCGCCTGCAGCTCTTCCAATGGCGGCGTACTTGGCCTTCTTGTCCCAAGTCAGAGCCGGAGGGCGAACCATGCGATAGTTATCGTACATGGCCATGTTGCCCGACTTCTTCAGGCGCTTGACGCCCTTGGCCGGTCCCGAGCTGGACTCCTTCTCTCTTTCTGGGAGACGTGTGCTGGGCAAGGGGCCAAACGGAGAAGCGCGGGAGGCAAGTCGGGAAGAGATGGATACCTTTGCGGGTTTTTCGGCAGGAGCAGCCTGAGCAGCGACAGCAGCATCAGCAGCCGGAGGGGGGGCGTCCTTGTCTCCAACGAGTGTATCGTCGCCACTGGTCTGCTGTTCAATCTCACGGCCAATGGGCCCACCGGGGCCACCACCCCATCGAGGCTTGGTGCACCACCACGCACCTTCGCCAATGCGCTTCTCAGTGCGACCCTCGCGGGCGCGGTGCTGAGCCGTTACCAGCGCGGCAACCAACTCGCGGCCCAAATCGAATACGGCGTCCGGATCGGCAGAAGACTCGTTCGGGTCCTCGGGTGGGGGCGGGAAGCCGATGGAGTGTCTAGCACTCACGGCCGCCACAGGACCTTCGACAATACCGGCGCGGGCTTCTTCCCTGGTGGTCGGGGTCTTGTACATGAAAGTGCAGCCGGAGGAGAAGTAGGAGCTACGGGCAGCTCCAGGATTGCGCGAGGTGATGTGCAGCCTCGGCTCAGCACGAGCCGGCGCAGTGTTGCACCCAAAGTCGTATGCAACAAGCTTCAAGAAGGTTTGCACCATCTGCTGGCGAAAGTCGGGTGGCATCTGATTGCCGGCGCCGGTACGTCGAGGCTTGGCGGCCAGAGCGTCCTTATCTTCTTCGTCTTCTTCGCCTTCAGGAGCTGATTGCTCGGCCACCGAGGTGTCATCCCAGTAATTGGAGAGCATGTCAAGCTGACGGAAGAACTCGTAGCAGTTTCCTAGCCGGGCATGGTTCTGTCCCTTTGGAGGATGGATGCGGCGAACAGTCCGGTAGCCGGTCTCATTAGGAAACAACAGCTCACGCTTACGCTCCAGATAAGTGTTGCAGCCTGGAGAGCGATTCCCCGAGACCAGTTGGACCCTGGTGCTCTCGTTCGCCTCGTGGGCCGCATCGGATGACAGTTCATCCCAAGCAGCGAAATCCGGGATATAAGCCGGATCAGGGATGAGGTCAGCTGCCGTAGCGTTTGGCACTACATGGACTCCGAGAGCTTCAAAATGGGCAATGGCCAGCTGGGCTGGGCGGACTATGCCCTGCAGCAAGGCAACGACCGACTTTGGGGATTCGCCTTCGGCTCCCGGGGCCACTTGTTGGTCATCCTGAACTTGGGGGTAGTAGCGCGGAAAGTTGACGGGCGTGGGCGGAGGAACGTCCTTGGGTGGCCCTTGAGGCGCAGTGGCCAGGGGAACTAGACGAAATTGTTAGAAAAGCTCGGACAGTAGGTTTGTTTTATATACAGTAAAGAACAGAAATCAGAAGAACCTACTCAAGTGGGCAAAGTTACCAAACATGCTGGCTACTATGATACGAGGAGGACGCGGCGGTAGGAAGACACGGCAACGGAACCGGACCGATGGGCTTCGGTGTCGGTAATGAGCAGAGAGGGGCGTTGCGCGGGCAATCGACAAGCTAGAATTGGGCGGGCACCGTGACGCGGAGCCGGTGCTTTGAGTTGACCACCGACTAAGGCGGTTGTCGTGCTCTTTGGTGCACAAGAACGACGGCGGGAGACGGGCAACGGGAGATGTTTGTGTGGAGAAAGGAGGGGATCACGGGGATGTTGTTGTTGGTGTAGAGATAGCTTTGAGATGGAAGATCACAGACGGAATGGAAGAGACTGTCGCCCCTGGGCCTCGTACCCCTGGAGCCAACCCTGGGTGATTGAGGTGTTCTCGGTGTTCGATGTGCTCTGGCGTGTCTGCTTGTCTGGCTCGACCGGCTAGGGGTTGTTCGGCCGCCACGGGGACAACTGACAAGCTGGTTCGGACGGAATTCGTGGTCGAATGATAGTTTGTGAAGCTTGCTTTGGCCGCCCAAAATCATCCAGTCTCCGTTCCGCTAGCGCAGCGGGCCGTTAACGTTACGTTGGCGTGGATGATCATGGCCCAATTTTGAGTTTGCCAGCGAACGGTTTTTGTTGCCATTCCGTTCAAAGAGAAGGTGCCGGTGAGGGTTCCCACGGTTAGCGTGTGGTTCCCATAGAGACGACCCCGCATAGTTAACCGTCAGGGGTTCAAGGGTCACAGCGCCTGCCTGTTTGGTGGTTCTGGAGGTGGCCGGGCACAGGGGATAACGCGCCGCGCCGACCGTTCGGGAGCTCTTCCATGTTCCGCCTGCAACGGACTGCAAACCCCGCCCGCTTGTGTACAGTGTCGGGACTGGGCTGGCCCTGCGAACCATGACGGCGTCGGCAGCCGACAGGAGGTCTGTTCCCGGTAGACGGTAGAGGTAGAGGTTCCGTGCCCGTCCATTGCCCGGGACACCCCGACTTACACCCCAATTCCTGTGTTCCGCTCCGAGATGCGCTCCCGGCTCGACCACCGTACGCCGGCCCTGCACTCTGACATGAGTCCATTTAGTGCTCTGCCATTGATTGCTGGTCTCACCCTAATTCTATTCCCCTCGCTAGCCATGGCGGCTTGGGCGGGTACCTGAACAGCGCGATTTTGCTCACACGACAACGCTGCCAATGGATTCCACTGTGTTGCAAGCAATGCAAGCGACCGAAAGCGTCTTGGCGCCCTGCGTCTTTCCACTCCCTTGTCTGCCCACCGTTACTTGACGGTTGAGTGAAAAGTGGGACCTTTTATCAACCCCCTCTCATAAAAGAGGGGGCTGAGAAATTCCGGAACAGCGAAATATTCATAGGACACACTTCATAATATTCTACTATTAAATTATCTCATCTGCATTTACACTACTATATCAAATATCGATATTTAGCAATATATTGCAGTTGTAAAGCTTAAAATGTTATTTAATTAGGTAGAAAGTAAATGAACTGTTGAATTGCACACTCTTTTATTTTATTTTTTATTATAAGTGCAAGGACAAGTATAGGTATAAGTGTAAATATAAATGTGGGTATAGGTGTAGGTGTAAGTGTAGATACTTTTTCTATTACTACTGCCTCTTTTTGTATAAATATATTCCTTATACGTACAATTTCTTTCTTTACTTTCTGTCACAGGTTGACATTGGCTATATAGTGTGCATTCCGAGTTCTGCCTTGCAAGCAGAACATCGTCCTATCTTTTGTAGGTTTGGCCGTCTGGGTATATGCACCCTAGCTTGTTACATGTGAACCTTTTAGCTTCACTAAACATCACTAATAGTTATTACCTTCCGCCATCCTACTTAGGCAGATCAGACTGCCGTTCATCACATATAGTAACTATTAAATCTATCAATAATTAATCAATAATATATAAATTTATAAATAGATTTTAATTCCTTACTACTGTGAATAAAATTTAAAAATCTCTTATTAAAGAAATTAATTTTATACTAGTCGCAACTAAACTAATCTTTAAAGGGAAACTCCCTTTTCTTATCTTCTTTTTCTAGCGCGTTAGTATTATCCTTCTTCAATTTTATAAAAGTAGAAAATGTATAAAAGAATTCGTAATTTTAATACTTTAGCTAGTCAAGAGTAAGTTTAATATTCGAGAAGCTGGTTAGTAATTTAGCGAAGCGGACGTTATTTTCGAAACTTTTAGTAATAAAACTTTTTATAGAATTCGTCTTGAAAATTATACAAAAAGAAATACCTTTCCCTATTATACTAACACTAACAATAAAAGTAATAAACTCTCTATTAATATTATTATTAATTTTAAATTATAAAAAATTAAACAATTACTTTCCTTATATAAATTAATTGCGACTAACCTACGTTTTACTTCGTTAATTCTTTAATACAGTAAATTTTACGCAGCCGCTAACTACGTAACTAAATTGTAATTTTATTCTATTATAATTTTATATATTGCTTTTATTAACTTTGTGTTTTTTACTTATAAATTCGTACTAATTAAAATACTCGCTAATGAACTTTTTATTTAATTTTAAAACTGTTACTTAATATTAATTGTACAATAAATCATTATTTTCAATTTTAAGTAGTTTTTTTAAAAAATCTTATTAATTACTGTGACGAACGGCAGTCTGATCTGCTTAAATGAGATAGCTGAAGGTAGTAACTATCAGAGTCGTTTGATGAAGCCAAAGGGTTCATAACAAGTATGCTTGCGTACTAGTCTCAATGTAATGATCTATTGACTACTGTCGAACTATCTGACAATCTGAGTTCTCCCGTAGTCCCTTTATACCTACTCGCTCTCTGCGAGATATCTGTTTCCGGATGTCCACGTAGACGTGAATCCTTTAGTGCTAGCTCACTGCCTATGAGCTGGCTCACCTTTATGAGCCTGGCTCGCCTTCATGAGCCTTCCTTTCTTGTCATAGTTACACTGCTCAGCCTTTATGTGGCTGTTGTGTACTAGTGGCTTGGTTGGCTCCTGTTCCTTGCTCATAGTTTATAGCAATTACTACAAATTATAAATAATCAAAGCGCCTTGTAATATATATAAGCAATTTATAACTATTATAATTATTTTGTATAGAACAGGAAGTTTCCTTTCGAAGTAAAATAGAATGTATACAATAATAGTATTCTCTTCTGCAGTAATTAATATACGAAGCCTTCCTACAACACGCAATGTGTTACGAACTTAAGCGAGTTACACGGGCCAACCAAGCCACTGAGATACAACAGCCGCAGAACGGTGCACTATAGGAGCTAGTAGGGCGCAGAACCAAAAGGGCTCACACCCCATGAGAGCTCACACCTTGAGCCAGGCTCACGCGTGAGCCAGGGCCACAAGGTGAGCCAACACCATCAGTGAGCCACCACCATCAGATAGACTTATGGGCTCAGAAGAGCATCAGGAAATAGATATCTCGCAGAGGGCGAGGAGGTATAAAGGGACGACTGGAGAACTCAGATTGTCAGATAGTTCGACAGTAGTCAATTGATCATTATCACCGAGACTAGTATCAACACGAGCATACTTGTTGTGAACTATTTAGCTTCACCGAACGTCTTCTGATAGTGTTTACCTTCAGCTATCCCACTTAGGCAGATCAGACTGCCGTTCGTCACACAATGAAATATCTAGCTTACTCTATTCTTACAGCATTTTAATATAGCAAAATATAAATGTATGCAATTCGCTAATAATCGTAATGATTTT